CCGACCACGCTCCCCTTTCTTTCGCTCTTCTTATTTCTCCTCCCGTTCCGCGTAGCCGGCTACCGTTTCTCCGTGGACATTACTCACTCATGCTGCTCCGGAGAAACTCCCGTTCGGTACGAAGAGAGAGAGAGAGAGAGAGAGAGAGAGAGAGAGAGAGAGAGAGAGAGAGAAAGGAGAAAGGAAGAATAAGAGAGAAGGAGAGAGAATCCGAGATTTTACTTAAAGCAGCTTGAAAACTCAAGCGCCTGAAGAATATTCGGTTAAACGAACATCCTCGAACTGACGACACGTCAGTTTTTTTATTTATCGCATCATCCGTCATTCGGCAGAAAGATGGTCAAATTTAACGTTTCACAGCCACTCTAATCTCACCCGTCGATTTAAGATTCTTTATAGTTAATTGAAGCAGTGAGTGTAAAAGAACTTAAAAGCAACGCTAGCTAGACTATTTTGGCGCAAAAGTTCGCGAAAAAGCGATTCGACGGATCACATAGCGACCGTAGCGCCTCTTCGAATTCGGCGGGGCGAAGTCGCCCGAGGATGCGTCCGGTCGAGTCGCGCGAAAGTTTCTCTCCGCGGAGTATTATTACGAGGAACAAGGGAAAGTACATGTAAATCTGAGCTTAATCGACCGCATCTCTCGCCGGACGACACACGCTCTACTACTATCACTTTCTTCGGACGTGCGCGCGCGAAAACACGAGCGGCGGGGCGGCGCAATGCAGAAAAATCGACAGCGGCTTCCCGCATCGCGCCGCGTACGCGTATACTTTCGACTTCACCCGGTTAAGTCGCAAGGCATCCTTCTCGACGCCCATAATTAACGCTTTTCACTATTATCGTCGGACGAGCGAGGTTTTTTGCGCCCGTCCGCTCCTTTTACGCCGCGCGCGCGCGTCGCCGCGCTCTTTTTCCGCCTCACCTTCCCGGCCGCGCTGACAACGTAGCGAGTGGATTTCTCTTTCGCCGAAGTGGACAACCGAGGAGCGGATTAGTTTCTGGTTCGCAACTGGATCAATACAAACGCGAGCGTACGCGCGAGCAGGCTCGACGATCGGCAAACGATGATAAAAGTCATGAAATTAATCGTCCCATTAATTAAATCTGACTTGTGAGAGATTTCTTTAGATCGCGCTTGCGTACCAACGATAATTATCAACGATTTCGCGAGAATGTTATATATTTCTTGAGGTAATAATTATTAATAAAATTATACCGCGCGTGCGTTTCTTATCTTCATCTTAGCTTTCCTTGGTTTTATTTTTTACACACGTGCGGTATATCGCGAAAATCGAAAGAAAATAATGGAAAATATAATTTTTCTTGAACAATTATCTCAATTATATATGATATTTGTGTGCACACATTTATACATTTGTTTGCTGACAGATCGGCCTGCTTTATTTTATTTTATCGAACATCGCGCATCTAATAGGTTGTAATTTTACGTTGCGCCTCATACGTTGTTATGTTTTACATTTCTGTTGGCACTTTCTCGGAAAAGCGAACAGATGCGTAATCGCGCGGCGAGATATGTCTGCGATACGCAATAAAGTCCCTCGCGTTTCTACGTTTAGCTCGGTAGCACGTGGCGATTGAAGATAAAATATACCCGCCTTCCCGCCATGCGCGGATAGAGACATCAACGCTCGCAAGAACACGCGGAAAGCGGTGATCTCGACGCGGCACATCGTGGATCGTAGGTGCGTAATTTTCAGTCGGAGAATCGACTCGTAAAAATAATCGTCGAGACGCATGTGAGCAAGCGAAAAACGCTGCTTTTTATTGTTCGTAAATTGTAAAAGCCTTCAGAAACGCACTGGTAACTCTCGCGAGGTAAGAATGTGCGAAATGCGTCCATCAGATTCTTTGTTGATGAAATTAGGAATTGATAAGACAACAATTCGGGAATATAACAGTTTGATGCATGTGGCTATCGTTATATGCACATTCTAAATTTCACCTGCATATTCCAATAGTAAAAATAGATGATACAAACTGTTACACGCATTTGAAATATCTCGATATCGTATATAACCACATTACGTTCTGTCTAACATTTCGCTCATTTTCTATGACAAAAGCGTTAGCTAACGGATCGAATTCTGACGTGTACGCCAGCCGGAGAAATAGAACAATCAAATCACGTTATCCCTTTCGGATCGTGACAGATATCGTTGCTTCGTTACACCGCGGAAGAGATTACGGTATCCACTCGCTGACGAGCGCGCCGAAAAAACGCCGAGCAAAATTAATTGCGCGTAGGTTCGCGAGCCATTAATAAAATTCTGTCAATTAGCGGGCGCTACGGATTCCGAAGCACGTGCCGGAGTGAAATGGAGAAGCATTTAGAAACGGGGAATAAAACGAGAGAGGCCCGGCTCAATGATCCATAATCGCGCGATCACAAAAATCTGATAGACACATCTTACGTACCTCTGGCAGGTGTTCCTACTCAATCTACACTTTTTCTTTTTATCCTCGACGTGCCTGACGTCAAGCTGTAAAAATGCGAGCAGTTCGATTTGCTCGGGAGATCGATTTCTTCGCCTCCTAAAATCTTTACCGTAGCCTCGGGTCGAAGACACATTTATCACAACGCGATTGATGCCTTGATTTATCGAGTCCCGTTTTGCGTTCTCTCTCTTTGCCTTTCTCCCTTTTTCACTCACTCTCCCTCTCTCTCTCTCTCTCTCTCTCTCTCTTTCTCCCTCTCTTTCCCTTCCTCACCTTCTCTTCCTGTCTCTCCTCTCTCTCTCTCTCTCTCTCTCTCTCTCTCTCTCTTTACCTTTTTCGTGCTGCGACCGACAACGATTCACGATGATGTCGATCGAGAAAGGAAGATAGGGAGAAAGAGAGAGGGAGAGAAGAGAGAGATCCTTTCACTAATGTTTCCAAATCGCGTCGTTTTCTAGCGACCCTAGTCGACGATCCTCTATTCTTCACGACTCGCTATAATCTGGTTCTATCGCGAGAAAGAAAGTCAAGTATGATGGACTCTTGATTTATGAAGCACCAGGCGAGGCTTGTACTCGTCAACCGGCGGCCGATGTTACGCGATACGTATCTCTAATAATCGGTTGTGTCTATCTAACGATGCTACGGATTGGTATATTCAATTACTTTTTGAGTGACGTTCCGTCTGTCGTAATCGGGGCGTGACCTTAAAGTTTGTTTAACACCGCGCTTTCGCGTTGCACAATGACAAAGTTTTCTTTGATACTTATTACCTTCTCTCAGCCCCGCAACATATTTTGCCGTTGCATAACTCTAAGATATGAAGGTATGAAGCGCGAATTAGACTATTTTCTCACTACAGTTTTAACATGCGATATTATGGTGTTTAAATATATATATATATATATATATATATATATCGCACATGTGAATAAAATATTGAATTTAAATCAACTTGTTGATTTGTGTTTGCAACAATATAGGAGTATCGGGAAAATGCGATCGTAGTATCGCGCGCTTGAAATATAATTTTCTGATCGCGATGCACATCAGTCTCAAGGGGATAAAAGCGCGTTCCCGAGTCGAAATTTTGCTTCTACGTTGAGAGCGTAATTAATTACATAAATATGCATTTAATCACTATTAAATAAGTATAAATACAGACTGACGAATAATTGAGCAAAAAAAAAGGAAGAGAGGCATGAGATTATAATTGTTAAGTTATTGGCAAATGATGACGAGCTATGAATTTCGCTCGAGTATCGCCTCATTTTCATCAAACATCCATTAAATTCGGACATTTCCTGCACAATGAATAATTTCACATATCTGAAATCGTATGATGTATCGTTTCCCACGTTCTAACCTAATTTAACCTCCTTCCTCTGTCCAACTTCCCGATCCCAGCATCGTGACTGCCGGCTACGAAGTCGTCGTGGCACTGAAATCAAGCAAATATAACTTGACCTGAAAAGCATGTTGATTTATGCGCGATTAGTGAAAGTCTAATTAAATATTTTAAGAAGACACGCGTGTGTGATAACTCACCGTGCTATGCGTGCTTCGCGTCGCGATATGTGCGTCGTTCGTCGACTCGATACGTCGCGACGGGATCACGGACAAGTATGCGACACGCAACAATAACAAATCTCTCAATGGACAAAAGAAAGGGCACTCTCCAATCGTCAGCCAAACAAATACACGTACAAAACATCTCGCAAATCCCACCTTGAACCTCCAATTACCGTCTTGTTTACTTCTGTTCAGAATGAGGCTACTTTATCGCATGCCAAAATTTAATCCTTTGCACTCGGCGCCATCTCGCGGACACTTATAATGTCTCCTCAGAGGAGACATCTAAGTGCAAAGGGTCAAGTCTTTATCGACGTATCGCATTGTTACTGCGCGCAACACATGATCTTTATTCTTACAATTCCTTCTCTCTCGCTCTTTTCAAATCTATAAATTTGATCGTATTCCCCAGCGTATTCTCCATTAATAAAAATAATAATAATGATTGATTAATGATGAATAAGGAAAGTTTATTATTTTATTTACCCATTAATTATCCTATTATTAACTCGTATTAAGTATTTAATATTTGTTCATCGCACGTTCTCTCCTATCTACGGTCAAGCACTCTACATAATTAATACGTACATTAGCTATTGAAATTGAAAAAAATCAAATGTGATGTGTTGAGTGAGTGAGCGAGACAACTAAACATTGAATCATTCTAAAGGAAATTTCGACGAGAAGAAAATGTTCGAAACGTCGAGTGTGCGTAGAAGCTTCTGTAATATTACATCTAAATATTTTGAATTTGATTCTGCTCGATGAAATGGGTCAATTAATATCAATTAATATGCATTCAAAATTTCGACTAGGTTAGTCGCGACATCTGTTACCACACACACACACACACACACACACACACACACACACACACGATGTGCTCTCGAAGAGAAAACAAGCTAGAAAAGCCCCCTCGCCGAGATTCGCCGGCTAATCAAACACATCGTTTCTGTTCTACGTTTCAGACTATCCCGAGCGGAGAGCAGGAGCAAGGCCGAGGGTGACAGAGACAGTGTGATGAGCGGATACCTCGGTAGCATCACCCTGCCCCCGACGTTGCTGCGCGATCCCAAGTATCCTCCAGCCATGCGGGAGAAGGACTCGAGCCCGAGGAAGATGCCGGGCCACATAAGCCCGAAGCAAGCCAGCATTTATCCCTTGAGCGTCCGCGTGCCGGACGTCGAGGAGCTGCCGTACGACCTCAGCCACGGCCACGGTCGCGGCATGTCGAGCCCGACGAATCAACAACAGCAGCAGCCGCACATGAGCCCCGCGGCCAGACCACCGCAACCTCATCAGCAAGACGAGCTCGACTGCGAGCCGCTCGATCTCCGCGTCGATCACAAGAAGGAGCGGCTCAGGGACGAGAATCAGAACGAGATCGAAGTGCTGAACCAAAACAGCCTAGGCGGCAGTCTGCCGTATCACACGGTGCTCTTTCCCCAGCCTCACGCGATGCACCCGTTGATGCTGGAGGCGATGTATCGGTCACATCATCACGGCTCGTCGGTGCCCGATCTGCCAAAGATCCAAGTCAGAGCGTTGCCGACGATGGTGCCGCTGCCGTCCAACAGATTCTCCTCGACGACCTCGTCGACCACCTCGCCCTCGTCGTCGCAGCCGAGCGTGAGGGCCGTCAGTCCGATCGGCGGTCAACAGTCGCAGCATCCGCAACCAAATCACCCGTCGCAGCAGCAGCAACAGCAGCAGCAGCAGCAGCAGCAGCAGCAGCAGCAGCATCAGCACCAGCACCAGCACCAACACCAGCAGCAGCAGCAGCAGCAGCAGCAGCAGCAATCGCAGCAACAACAATCGCAGCAGCAGCAACAGCAGCAGCAGCAGCAGCAGCAGCAGCAGCAGCCGCAACAGCAAGGCTCGAGTCTGCCGCCGTATTCGATCAGCGTGCAGGCCGGCCTCAAGCCCAAGGACAGATACTCGTGCAAATTCTGCGGTAAGGTCTTCCCCAGATCGGCGAACCTGACGAGACACCTGAGGACGCATACCGGCGAGCAACCGTACAAGTGCAAGTACTGCGAGAGGAGCTTCAGCATCTCCAGTAACCTGCAACGTCACGTGAGGAACATCCACAACAAGGAGAAGCCGTTCAAGTGCCCGCTCTGCGAGAGATGCTTCGGCCAGCAGACCAATCTGGACAGACACCTGAAGAAGCACGACGCGGACGGACCGACGATACTGGACGAGGTAAGATCGAGGTATCATGGTCAGCTGCCGAAGGCCGACGAGTCCTACTTCGAGGAGATTCGCAGCTTCATGGGGAAGATCACATCGCAGCGGCAGGGGATATCGTACTTCCCGAGTCTGCTCGGTCACGCCACCGACGATTACAGAAACGACAAACAGCAGCTGCAGCTGGAGGAGAAGCGGGACCTGTCGTACTTCAGCGACCGGGATAACCTCAGTTCGAGGTCGAGCGGCACGACCAGCAGGCCGGAGAGCGTCCAGGAGGAACAGAGGGAAACGAATTCGCCGCCGCTCTCGCCGGGCAACAACACCTGAGTCCTGGCACCCGGAGTCATTAGCATGGTAACCCGTTATCAGCATGCGACTGCTTCACGGTCGAGAAAGAGAGACGTTTCGCCGATTCGTTAAAGTGCGGTGGAGTCCGGGGAACGAGAGAAAGGAAGAGAAGGAGAGCGAGACGCGCGGGCCGTTCGAGCCGTTGGGATCGAACGAGAGCGAAAGTCTCGGGAGGGTTATAAATTTCCGGCCGAACGAGCGACTCCACGACACAGCAACGGCACCGCCACGAGGAACTGCTATCACTCGTGGCGATCCTAGATTAATCCGAAACTATTAGAGTGCACGAGATAAATTATCCTGCGTAGAAATTCCTTCCCGCGAGCCGAGAGAGCGTCAAAGAGACGCCGACGGAATCTGAGAAGACGAAAAAGCGAGAGCGATCTATTAATGAAGGTAGATCTGACTCGAGAGATCGGCGGTGAATCATTTGCTCAAGACACGACGAGCGATACGTAGTCGGATCATCGTTTTCTATATGCTAGCTTTTAACGATCCACAAACTCGGAAACGAACTCATCGGGCGACGTAGCCGACGAGAGGAGAGAGACGGCTTCTCAGACGGCGGACCTCCAGTCCGCTCAGTGAGGAAACGCTCGGAATTAAATTGGCACGCGGTGCCCTGAAGAAACATGTGCCTAACTTCTAGGACGCATCGTCCTTCGATCCTGAAGAATACGATCCGATCGGGTCGATATACGAAGAGCCTTAATTAAGTTAGTTAAACGAGATAAATTAATCTATCTCTTATACGCGCTAGATACCGCACTAGATAATTCTAGAGTTAAACGCGTGCGCTTGAGCGAGTCGGAAAAGTCATTGAGAAGTCGAGGCAAAGTCGAAAGTCGCAATCTACGAGCCAATCTGCGAAGAAACAATGAAGAAGTCTAGCGGAATTCCGATCCCGGGCGAGAAGCTACGAGCGATGCGAGATGTCTTGATGATGATTTGTAAAATTATCTCTCAGCTGCCGCGCGTATTTTCCCTCTATGTTTGCAAAGTTCCATAACAACGACGAGGAACATTCTTTCGATCTTAACTTCGCAGCTCGGGCCGTAGAATTCCAACGGCCCATACGGTATGTACAAAGTACAATCCATTTACGTTTGCAGGCTGTCGCAATCCTCTTACTTACACACCGAAAATTATTGTAATTACCCGCGAATTCGCATCCGCATCGGATTTCTCTCGCGTAAACTCGAATCGCTACGACATAAAATGTTAAACTTTCGATATTGGGCAAAAACAGAAACTGCACCGAACGGTCAATATAATTCGCAAATGCACTGAGAAAGTTCCGAAAGAGCGATATCGTTCTGAAACTTGCGGCGTTGAATCGGCGCGCCGCCGATTGCGGCATAACGCATGACTAATTCGCGGAGAAGAAAGGCCAGCATGGGAATAAAAAAAGAAGCGCCGACGCTGCGTAATTAAGGCCGTCGCGATCCTTTCGATCGTCCCTGCACTTTTCCACCTTTCACGACGCATTCCTCTCGCGCGGCAGGGATCAGCTCGAAGTTGCAGAAGTCCGATTTCGAGATCGACGCGGCGCGAAGTACCGCCCGAAGAAGTGCCGCGTGCGACACAGACAAAGTCCTTGTGCCAAGATAGCAGCAATTAACGTTCTAAACGTTCGAGTGAAATATGAAAAATCACACGGCGATTATCAAATAAATTTCGCAACACCGATCGCGATTTATCGCATCTTTTCTGTCGGCGTGTCACGAAAAATCCAGCCGCTAATATTCATCAACTTATCAAATGTAATTTTTTCGCGTCACATATTGTCGCGTGTCGAGTACTCGAAGAGTACTCGAGTACACATTCAAGTCACAGCTGGCTCGGTACTGAAAGCGGTAAGATACTCGCGCAAACGCCGTGGCCTCACCGCCGAGGAAGAGGTTCGCGACCCGGCGCGGCGAGACGGACGAAAAAGTCCTTCGTGGAAGGAAAAGTCGTGGCGAGAAGGCGCGGGACGATTCGTAGCGGCTGATGGGCGACCGCTCGATTTTACGACCTAGAAAGTGAATTTCAGCACCCGGCCCCAACTCGAGCAACTCGGGCGCCTTCGGACGTAATCCGCGGATCGCGGATCACTCGGGCTCGTCGGGCCCAATGATCCGCTGAGGCGGCCGATAATAAAATAGCGTTTAGAAATCGATGGGCGGATCCGCGAACGCGCCTGTATTGCCGTTGCCAGTCAGCCGCGCGTTGGGAAATCGGAACTGACGGAAGAGCTCGGAAAGTTCGTCGCACTCTGCGCGCCTCGGATCGTTAAGTTTTTAATCGGGGAAGCGGTGACGCGTCGCGGGGCCGCGGCCGCACCGTGAATGATCGCCGCGAAATGAAAACGTCGATGCCTGTAGCAACGTTCTCCGGCATTCTTGCGACCGCGAGAACGTTCGTCTTGGAACGCAAAATCGGAGGTCGGAGCGTTTGTGGCATTGTGTGTGTGTGTGTGTGTGTGTGTGTACTACACGTTCACTTCGTGTTCGATCGAAATTCGTCAATCGGAGATTTTCCTCGAGAACGTGGGACAATGAAAATTCGCACTCGTTGGATTCTTTCTAATTGATCCGCAGTCTGAATGGCAATTTCGCAAACTGACAGAAGACCCTCCTATAAAAGTCTGGCCGTTCTGCAGAAGAAACGGAAGGGAGACCAAGTGGAAGCTGTTTCTCCGCGTCTGAAACCAGTTCATAGCGGGAAAAAAGAAGCAGCCGCGCGCGTCCTGCGTGATTATTAATATCCCATTACCGTGGCGAGCCGCGAGAGAGTCAATTATCGCGAAACAGCGGCGCGACGCGATCCGGATCTAAACCGCTGGGCTTCGCGAGTTGATCTCCAATTTGGAATTAATCCGTCCGCTCGGAAATGAAGTAACGGTCTAACGATATTAGCCCCCCCCCCCCCACCCCGTCACGATTTATCGATATTACGACCGCGTTTTACCGACCCGCCCAATATGCGTCAGACGTCGGATTCTGGAAAAGCATTACGAAGGACAAGTGTGTGTTGCGCCGTCGCAGGAACTCGCGGAACTCGCGGAAATCTCTCGCGTCTGCAGTAGCGTCGATCAATCTCATCACGCGGCCCCTTCGCTCGCGTTTGGCAAACGAACGCGGCGAGGCGAGGCGAGGCGAGGCGGAGGCGTTCGAGGAGCGCACAGCCAGGACGATCCGCTTCACACGATGCGCTGCTCGGCGGCATTCGTTGCAGCTAACGCATCGGAAAGCGATATCCGCCGATTCAGCGCGTTCGCGGGGCCGCAAAAGGCCGCAAAAACGGCAGGCGAACGGTTATCATGCCGGCCGGCGCGAAGGCAAATGGTGCGAAATCTCCCGCGAGGAGATTTCCCATCAACGGAAGACGTCTACGACGGCGAAGAAAGGACTCGCGATCGGAAGCGGCGCGGCGCGGCGCGGCGCGGCGCGGAGCGGCGGAGCGAGCGCGCGAACGGAATCTGCGGCGTGGAAAAGCTGCGTGCTTCCTGCCGGCGATGATCGGCAAGAAGAGGCGAGTAAACGAGCGGGGTACCTTGGTGAACGTACCGCGGGCAATCCCACACGGATGATGATATATCCCCTCGTTTCCTGCGGACGGTCGCTCAAGAGCGTACCTTGGGCGAAACGATGTAATCGTCTTCCGCTCCTTAAGTCAGGTGCAAATTTATCGGCACTTTCTAGCGAGCGTTCGATACGCGGCCCGGCGCACCGCAGGTGCAGATTCCTCCGGGGTGGATCGGTTGACCTTGAGATTAACCCGATCGACGCGACTCGTGCTAGCGAGCGGATCGCAACGCGGGGGTCAGAGACATAACGGAGCATAAACTCGGGCAACCGATTGATCGCCGGTAAACGATCGATGGATCGCGCGTACGCGGTGAACAGAAGTGAGCTTTAAAGTCTCCTTACGTCGACGTCGCGGGATCTCGCGTGGAGGATAGTACGTGTCGCGCGGGAAAAGTCGCGTGCTCGCAGGATCCCCCCCCCCTCGCACGTGCATGCAGGCAAGGATATTTTGCATACGCTAAGAGCTCCCCTCGCTCGTATATACCGCCATCGCATGCGCGGCGAGTCTTGCACCTGCGGAAAATTGATACGTGCAAGCTCCGCTAAATCACAGTGCTAAATTGGAAAGGTGATGGCTCGGCCAGTGGCAGATGCGTGCATCCTGGCGCCTCGGGGCCTTATCGTTTTACGGAGTCTCTTATTGATGTTTCTTCTTCGCACACTTCTTCCCTGCGTAATCTTTGCGCACTCCCCCCTTTCCGCTAATGATAAAGTGCGCGTCTCGTCTCTCATAACTGACTATCTTTTTCTATCTCTATTTTTTCACTTTTCTCTCCGATTTTTTTATTAAGTGTATTCGAATTGAAGAGAAAATGTAAAAAATGTGTCAAAGTGCCTCTGGAGTCGCGACGCGATTCAAGTGAAACCTCGCGGATCTCGCGAATCCAAAACGCGAAATTAGCGGAATACATTGGACGACTTGGGCAGTCCTTGCGGACATTTTCGGTGAAAATCGCGCGCGCGCGCACGCACGCACGCACACGTGCGTGTTTCTCGTTCGTTGGAATCGGAGTCCCGGGTTACTTTCGTCGGGTGGAATAATCCCGCGACACGCGATAGCACTATTACAAGCGCGCTCGGTTTCCTCGAGTTCTCCGGAACGCGCTTGAAAATCCCGACCGACGCGTCTTAAAAACGGACTAATCGCTTCCCGGCACTGATCTTCGGGCGCTAGTTTACCGCGCTTTCTAGATCGTGCCTGACACCGTCGGAGCGGAAAACAAATAACAAGTCCAGTTTCGTGACTGAAAGTGTTATCTCGCGCGCGAGCCCGATTAATTACGCGTCTTTTGCGTTTACGCAGCCGGCGATAATGGCGACGTAAATAAGCGTTCCATTCGGACTGCTTGGTCGATTCGCGACGCATCCGCTCCAGCAGCGATACGTCACGCTGTCACCGAGATAAAACACGAGATAAAATATATGAGCGACAGCGCGGAAGTCGTCGTATATAAAACTTTAGCGATATCGCAGATGCCCCGTCGTCCGTTTCATCTTCAATCTCACTCGGTTGCTCGCGTCGTTATCAGGCGAGACCAGCGAGTAATATTCCGGCGGGACCAATTACCTGTAACATCTATCAGCGGCGTGGGAAATCGATCCCGCTGCGAAATTATACCGGTCTCGATCGCTGCGTGAAAATCGCTCCTCCGTGTTCGCGCGCGCGTCAGTGATAATGAAAATGTGACAATCAACGTGAGCACGATAATACGCACCGTGCATTATTCCCGACACCCCGGACTGCGCGTTCTCGCTCCTGGCATTACATACGTATTTTATCGGGACTCGATACGACTGTCGTAAATAGCAGTAGATTAATTTAACGATGACGCAGTTATCGCGAGCCCGTCCGATTACGACGGCAATTTCCCGCAACCCGACGAACCGTCGCCGCGCGCCGGGTTCGCTCACCGTGAAAACGATTTAATCCTTCCTGCCGGTATGATATTGGGTGCAAATTTATCGGCACTTTCTAAGCCGTGCGCGCGCGCGCGTTTGCTCGCTCGCTCGTGCGCGCGCGCGAAGGTGGTGTACAGGTGCAAATCCGACCTTGATTAACCCGATCAGTGATTCGTAACACTGTAACGAGAGCCTGTCCGGCTTGCAGAGGATGACGTGAGCTACGAGTAGCTCAAGGTGCTGCCGAGGCTGAAGATCGCTGCGCGTCTGTCGGACTTTTCCACGCCCTTTTCGTTTCATCGCGGAGGGCGGACGGCTGGAAAAGCCGCTTTCTACGGCGCGCGCGCGCGCGCGGATGCAAATGCGCGGAAAGATCGCGCCGCGCGATATCGCCGACAATGACTCGTAAACCGCAACATTTTAAACGTAGATCGCTTCCCCGGAGCGATCCACTTTTGCTATACGCGCGGCTCTCCGCCCGAAGGAAGGATCTAATAAATATCTAGCGGATTGTTATTTGAATCGCCGCGCGGAAAGAACGAGATGCCGCCGCCGTGCGCCGAGAACGACGTCGACGACATGCCGCGCCGCGCCGCGCCGCGCCGGGAAGAATTTAATCGCTGGCTGCGGATCAAAATTATTGCGCTTTCTAAACGATAATACCTACGCAACGCGGGTGCTTTCAAGATAGGAGCAAGATTTGCGCGCGCGCGCGCGTGTTCGCGTCTTGGCCTCCATGGTTGGTTAGCGAAGGTCGAAGAACTCGCGCGCGCAGTCATAAAATGCCGGTGTAATTGTACATGTATAAATTGCGCAGATCCTGTGTACTTAATATTGCGATATTCCCATGGAAACGTTCGAAAGTACCGATCGCGTCGCCGTCTCTCGTGTCTTTTTTGTTGGCTCATCTTCTCCGCTCCGCCGCGCCGCGCGCGGAGGACGACGCGCGCTCGTTCTCTCGCGGTCCTACCGTCCAATTCTTCATTTTACTCTTATTATCGTCGTTTCGTAACGCGGCCTTGCGAACGCGCGCGGTGACTAAGCCCGCACAATGCAGATCTCAGGTGAAGCCTCGAGAGGATGGCGCGCGGACCCTGTTTTTCTCCTTCACACGTGTACGATCGCAGCCGATGGCCTCGGACCTCTCTTGCGTTACACTTTTGCCACGCCCCGATCGAACGGGTAAGCTCATCGCGAAAGTGAAACGCAATAAAGGAGCCACGCCGAGCGAGAGTCTCGAGCAGAGAGCGCGAAGGCGGAAGAGAGAAAGAGAGAGAGACGGGCTTGTCGAGACCGAGAAAAAGGGAGAAGGAGACAGGGAGGGAGAGAGAGAGAGAGGAAGAGAGTGAGAGCGAGAGAGAGAGAGAGAGAGAGAGAGAGAGATCCTATCGATCGGAACCTCGAGGCCTGGAAATCGGTTTCCTCGCAGCATCCCGCGATCGTCGGCCAGCGCAGGTAGATACGCTCGATTCGAATTTTCTCTCGAAACACGCGCCTTCGATAAGCGCGAGATTCAATGAACCAAGACGCCGGATGTTCCGCGGATACGAAAATCAGTGTTCCCGTGATTAACTTAAGAATGCAACGCGCCATGATTTTTTTGTTCTCCGCGAAAGCCAAGGAAATTATGATAAGAAGGTCCGATAAACGGGAAACGAAAGAAACTCTCTAGCGACCGATCGTCGTCTCTCACAAACTGCTCCCGCGTGCTAAGAGAGTCGCAGCGAGTACGCTTACGATTCTTCTCTCGATTATAGTACAAACTTACACGTATCTCTTCAGCAGATCTCGCGTATGACTGTGTCGATATTAAGCGCGCGTACGAGGCGCGTTTCGAAAGGAGCCGCGCCTCGCTAACGAACCCCGGCGAATTCGGAAGCAGAGCGTTTCGCAAAAGGCGGCGACTCGCCGCGAAGGCGCGTCGGCGATTGCGCAAAATTCGTACCATTTGCGAATCTAAACCCGGCAGACTTTTCAACCAGTTTCCTGCAAAACCAGCTCGGCTCGTTCGGTGCCGCGCTGCGTCTATCCGCGAAATTGCGTCAGGTACTCGCGACCCGAGCGACATACCGACTCGCACCTTACGATCTCATCTCACGGCTTCTCCCGCTTCAGTTCGCGATTCTCAGTGCGTGATTTCACGTGTGTATGTGTGTGTGTGTGTGTGTGTGTGTGTGTGTGTGTTTCATGCGTGTCAGCAGCGGTCGCGCGACGCTCTCGGGCTTTCGTTCGTCCGCCGAATTGCGACAGCCGGCAAGCGAGAATCAAAAGAAAAGTGCGGCTGCGGAAAACTGCGGCAGTCATTTCGGCCGCCGCGCCGTTGGTAAACTCGTAGCGTTCGTTTGAGCGTGCGTCGTGCTGTGCCGCGGTGCTCGTCAGCACGCGAGCCTTTTATGTTACCTTCCAGTCGTGAATCATAAATTCCGACGACTACATGTTACAATAAAATGCGTATTGAAGCAACGACCGTAAATACTAGGAATAGTACGTACGACACTCGCGGCCTGTGTAACGCGAATCGCACGTGCCCGACATGTATACATCTCTTAGCTGTTAGAATTCGTTTGTATATCGAGGCTCAATCTTATAGTTAGACGAAATCTCGCAAAGAGAGTGCCACCGCAATGAGCGTAATTCAAGCTCACTCTCCTCCCCCCCCCCTCTCTCTCTCTCTCTCTCTCTCTCTCTCTCTCTCTCTCTCTCTCTCTCTACCCTTTTCCCTCTCTTTTCATCTCTCCCTTTCTGGAGCGTTCCGAATTTCCAAACATGAGATTATTTTGTAACGACGATCGCGCCTCATCACATCGGCATCGCACGCTCATATTATTGCACATGTAAATTCATTAGAGATCATTCACATTTGTCGACAACGCTCGTGGATGTGGTCTCGACGATAGATGTTGCTCTCGAGGTGCGACATCCCCGAGCGGACACGCGTAAACGTCGCATCGTATTAAATATAAGGAAGCACACATATCTCGCGATATGTGGAGCAAAATCGACGATTGTGCGCTAGCCCGACGTGGCGACTTACTTCGATCAACTCGGTAAGACCGGCTTAAATCTGTATTTTAGTTACGAGGCCCCCGTGAGTCAGGGGCTCGCATCCGTCGTAAAGCACTTCTCTCTCTCCCTTCTCTCTCTCTCTCTCTCTCTCTCTCTCTCTCTCTCTCTCTCTCTCTCTCTCTCAGGCCTTACCGCGATCTCGATCGTCGCCAACGTCGAATTCTAACGGAGCTAATCGATCCGATTCGCACGAGTGTTCGTACCACCCTCCTGTAATTATATATAGTCAACACCGCACGCGGTATGTACTAAGTAACAAAAAGAAGCAATTTGTAAAAAGAGCTCTCTAATTTTTATATGAGATATAAATATACGATATGAATATGCATAGCTAATATATATACGTACAGATAGAGATATAAATCGTACCACCCACGAATGTGATTTGACCGAGGTTACCGTGTTATACGTACTTACTATTAGCCACGGAAACGGCGCCGTGTGCCGAGGAAGCTATAAAGCGCTCGTTACCTTTAGAACAAGTAGTTTTTTAAGGGACACACGCGTACACACACTGACACACGCAGTAACATGCATCACACACACACACACGTACACGACAGTTTTCAAGCTCAGTTCAATCCCACAGATTCTTACGTTTATAGTCAAATATAAAGAGCATAACAAGCGCCGAGCGCTTCAAGCGGACGAACGATCGTAGTATTGTTTGATGCTGTTACAAAGACGCGCGATGTGTTATTTGTGTTGATGTATAAAACTGGACTCGCGTTACGTTTCGAATGTATTCTGTGCGAATAAAATACGACGCTTCCGTCTAATAAAATCTCAGTGGTTCACCGGAGCAATGACTGAAAATTCTTCGTGTCGCGAAGATCACATTTCATTGTGCGAAGCCCTTCATTCACGCGGACCTAATTGTAAATATCTCAATTATTTATTCTTCTTCCTTCTCAATTTTAATTATTTATCTTGTCAGAATTCAATGTGATATCCTGATGCGATAGGAGAAAAGCAAATTGTGACGTTCTAGTGATTCTGGGAAGGATAACTACGAATCTTCCTTGAGAAAGGAAGCGGTTTCCACACACATCATCTACATATGCATAATTCAAGATTGAAGTCTCTCTCGGATTGCCGATTGAAATTGCCGTTCGAAATGATCCATTGAATTGTTCAATTTTTCCCATGACGCGAGTAGACGCGATTGGCTCATCGAACGGGATGAACGAGTAAAGACGACGTCCGTGAACGATCCTATAATTGTTCGTCACTCCTATTTTCCGTATGACATTTATAGCTACGTAGTCACGCCTTTGTAGCACGACGATGACTGTATATATGTCAATATGTAATATTTGAGATGCAAAAAAATATATATATATATATTATAATTCAATAAGAGAACACCTCTCTCTCTCTCTCTCTCCCTCCCTCTCTCTCTCTCTCCCTCTCTCTCTCTTCTGTCTCTTCTCGATTGCTTTACTTCATCGAATTTTCTCTGCAATTAAAGATTATCATGCAAGAACCATTTCCATTGTCAACGAGCAGAATAGTATCATACGTGAAAGCAAACACGGCGTATCGCAACAATTCACAATCGGTGTAACTAATAAGCGGATGCCGCCGATTTGTTTCTAATATTTTTGTAAAATTTTCTTTCTCCGAAGATATTTATCGATGGTCTCAAAAGATTAACAACATGCACCGATCGGCTTCCTGCGTAAAAATGTTCCAATTTCTTCCACCAGTTTCTACTCTTGGAGTTTCCACTAATTTTCGTCAAGATTACACTCACAGCCGCTCCAGCACGACATCGTGAAGGAAGAAAATATTCAGGATCCAGCATGAGCTCATACTGTGCTTATTCTCATGCACACCTTTCATCCACCTCGCGGAATTTTGGTCTTTCTGTTCTCGTTCCATACGACCGCACGGCGAGAGGGTCAACGGCGGGTTCAGCCCCGAATATGACGATGTTTCCAGAAAATTAAGTCCTCTTTCCCCCACGTGGAGAAGAAGAACCGCAATTAATGTGGGAAACGGCCGCCTGGCCAGGGTCACAAGTGTGTGAGAACCGGAACACTCGGACTACCCAGTGCGGACGAGTTGACGACGTGACTTGTGGATAAATTTCAAAAATGATGTACTCGCGAGACGCCTCCGATAGTCAAAAGCCGCGTTTACTTAGCCGCGTTGCGTTGCGCTATTTGCCGCGAGAGTAAATTAACTGGATTAATTAAACTAGAAGTACTTAAAAAAAGCCGCAACGTTACAAGAGCTTGGTCTCATCCGTGATATCTATGACAAATCAAACCGATCGCTTTCGTCAGATAAACTGTAATCAACCACTTTTCGTCCTTTACTAAATCGCAGTCTCGATTATAGCATCGATGGAGAGAAAAACTACAGTTGCTACTGCCTCATATTTCAGCAACTATTTTTAAATTAATAATATGCAAATACGTGGACATGATATCGCACTATTTATACAACGCAAAATCATATCATCAAATGCATAACAATCAACAAATGCAGCATAACATCAAATGATCTCTTCTCTGCTATGACGCAAATAGTTCTAATTAAAATATTCGATATATATGTATATCGATATATATGTATATATATATATATATATATGTGTATGTGTGTGTGTGCGTGTGTATATGTGTATTTGCCTTTCTCTCTCGCGGTTTCTTTCCTTACATATATGCGTATAATTAAAATAAATTTATGAAAATACTACACATTTGACAGAAAAAGAAGAAAAAGCGCATACTATTAGTGATCCCTCGGCGCGATGAGAGAATCTTTCGTTTCGGAGGCAACGCGAATCCATAAATAAAGTTTCACTCATCTCAACCAAACTTGGCCTGGAGGTGATCGGATCCGAAGGCACGGGCGGAATAGTGCGCTTCGGGCTAAGTGCCTTCTTAGCCTCACCGAGGACGTGACTTTGACCCAGATATCGGTAAACTGTGCCAAGTAGCCCGCGGATGCAGCTCGTTCGTATCGTCTGGATCGAAATCACGCTGAAACGAAACGACAGAGATCGGCTCTTCGATCTCTCCTACTGTGCATGGCGATTTGCTGAATGTTGTTCTTTCCTGATCGATTCAGCGATCGATCTTGCGAGAATTTTTACCTTGTGATAAATAATTCATGCATAAATTGCAACGCGTTTGAAATATGTTAAAGTTATATTAGTAATTCCGTTTTGGCGCATGTCCAAATACGTCAGTAAGATACGTATATTAAAAATCCTCATTCATGAATCATTGTAAAATTGCAAAACGTGCACGTGCAAAAGTATCTTTTGCTATACAGTTGCAACTACAATGAAGTACAGTATGAACAGATAACAAGCTTACCACAAACTCTAAAAAAAGATCACAAAGAATGTGGAGATAATGGCAATTTAGAAAATAACAGCGCTGTATCGAGAAAAACCGTGCATCACGCATTCACCTTCATTACATGCATATACCTACTGTGGTTGGAATCAGGGTTGGAAGAAACAAAGAGTCCCTGAGTCGTTGCTTTTAATTAAGAACGTCTCACGACGCGACAACGTGTCGCAGATAAATCGGAGGTTTCAAGAGTGAGATGTAGAAACTCCGAATAAGTAAATTCTTCTACACGGGACAGTAATTATAAAATGCAACTGATTTCCCATGGTTGTGTTGCCTAATTTTAATTCTGTCCGATATCCGATTTTACTTCCTTTAACTTTAAAGAATAACCAAGTGATATTGGAACGGACGAGGAAATAACAATTTCGACAAAAGCGAAGAGAGCCGTTTCTAATTCTTCAAAGACCAGTAGCAGAGTCGACACGATCTTCGATTCAGCCTTGACGACGACGACGACGACGACAATAAAGATGACTCGTCAGCAGGGCCTTAACTAGCAATGAATCATTAACAATACGCATCTTCTTCGGAATTGCGACAGCGGCGGATTATCCGTTTAAGGCAATGCCAAATCGGTCGGAAGAACGTACCACGCGATCCACGTGCTTTTATTTAAGATTACCAAATTGGTCGTTCAGCTCGGCGCAATGTTACTTGGAAGGTAACGCTAATAGGAAGTCGCGCGGCGCAAAACGATGCTCGCGTACGCGCGCATGATAATCACGACATCGACGCATTCTTATTCTCAAAACGGCCACTCGTGTTCTGATTACTACCCGTGACCAAGCACAGTCATCTTATCCATTAGCCGACGAAACGAGATCCACTTACGAGATGGGAAGACCACGCGCATGCAAAAATGCTCATGTTTTGCGCTTATTTCTTTTATCTCTTACGAATATAAATCGCGTTCTGTCAAGAATCATCGAACGCAATTCGATGGAAATAGAAGATGCAATAAGGGGAACGATAAGTGAAGGCCGGACGAATAATAAACGAGATTGGATCAGGGATGTAAGAGGAACGGACGATGGAGCAGACGATCGTAATTGATTCAGAATGGAAGAATGCAGGAGAGAATTGGTTCAAGTGACAAACACTTTGCTGTTCTCATTTTTTTCTTTTTTCGATTGTACAATTTAAACCCTGTCACAGAGTAAACATATCTGTTTCTGCCAGTATAAAAGTACAAAAATATTAACTCTCCATTGAAATCAGAGAGACACGCGTGCCAACGCTGTCGCCTCAGTTTGGCACGTCGCGATGAGAGTATATATTGTTACTCGTAGACTGAGTTCATTAAGGCACTGCCATTCTTCTCTTCTTTGCAGATAACGCAGTGCGTCGTCATCACTTCCAAGGGACGGATTTTAAGATCCATTGTTGATCAACATTCTTAGTGCAAGCCGCTATTTCGGGTGTATCACTATTCGTTGTTGCTTGAAGGCACATTCCAGAGGGCACGTGCAAAAGTACCTTTGTCTAAAAGTAATCCTTATTTTACGCCATTATACGCGCGCCCCTTGTCACTTATTATTATTTATACTAGAAACGTATAAATTAACAATCTCGAAGCGATCATAATAAGATCCACTGAACCAAAAGCGTTACTATAGTTGGTTACTTCGTCAGTAACGTCGACATACTTGTTTGTCGTATTGCCACTTTTGTCTGTCGCGACCGCTGCATGCCATTATCTTTACTTTCGGCGTTTTTTGCTGCGTATCTCGTTCCGGTGCATCCAAGCACACACTCTCGTCCGTCATTATCACTCCGTTTTTAGTCATCACAAACATCTGGCTGAGCATCGGCCGCGGTATACACGAGTGTAGGACCGCGTGTCCTGACGGTTGCGTGTAAGAACCTTTCGCGGTCGGCCGCATAAGGCATCTATTTGTTGTAGCGTGTATTACCTAAGATTGATTTTACTATTTTATGTTTGATTTTCATCTCATCAATTTTATAACCGGATAAGCTATATTGTATGATTAAACTCGTGAGTGAACTTTACCCTGCCGAAAAATCGGTCATCCGTAGGAAAAAAGTGTTCGGGCCACACGTTTTCTAAGTACCATTCGAAGCTTTTACACTGCAGTTTCTCGCGTAAAGCTAACCTCGAGCGAACTTGCTGCTTATATCTCAATCTCGCTGCCTCTAATAAAAACCGAAGTACGAGGATCCATCGATCCATGAAATTGAAGATCCATCCCAGCAGATAAAGTAAATTTACACGTACCGGCATTAATGGTAATCTCACTTACCAGGATTGAACTTGAAGTAGAACTCCGCCCATTGATCCATCCATACGGAGGCGACTCTAACGAGATTGCCGTATAAAATATCACCGACACCGCCCGGGAAGGTGTACGGAGAGGACTTTCGAAAGAGATGCCCGACATGAGAACAAGGGGCGATCTCGATACTGCCACCGCATTGCCAAGCTCGGAATGACAATTCCAAATTCTCCCCTCCCCAAATACGCATTTGATCGTCGTAGCTGCCTAATTGGAAAAAATAATTTCTATTCATTGAAAATAATCCACCTGCCATTGCGGGCGTTCGAAACGGCTCGACGATGCTCTCGCGCCTCTCCTTCAATAGACGGCCGTTCAAAGTCAGCCAGCGAAAGTGCAAGTCCCAGTTGAATGCGCCCCAGTGGAGCTCAAACGATCTGAAAAGTTATCAACTTGTAAGTTATTTGTCAGAATGAAGAAACTGTAGTCTTGTCGAGATTACGATCATAATATCGTTACTGATAAACTGATAAACATAGAAGTGAGCCGTTACCTTGTGTAACTGAACGTATTATCATTTATGATGTCGATTACCGGAGAAATTATTCTCGTTGCGTTTTTACCGACTGCCTCGAGCAGTGGTTCCAACCATCCTATAAAAATTACAACCGATATCAATACTACATAATACGAAAGAAATTATCATCAGAATTAGGTGTAATGTAATAGAGCTTACCTACCAACCGTACATTCGCAGTGGGCATCGAGAAAAGTGAGAACTTCGCCCTTAGCATCACTCGCTCCCAAAAGTCTTGCCTTTATCAATCCTACACGTTCAGTGGATCGTAAAACTTTCGTGGGCACACTTAGTTTCTTCACATATTCGTCCAAAGGATTCTTCAGGAATTCTGGCAACAGATATTAATAGAAAATATATTACAAATACGACAAAGAAATACCATAGGTACTTTTACAGTGAATTTAAATTACTGCATACCTCTTTCACTGTTGTCGTCGACAAGAATAATCTCTTCTAATAATTCTCTCGGAGATCTATCAATGACACTATGCACTGTCCTTAACAGAGTGCTCCATGCTTCGTTATGAAATACTATGATGATCGATGTTTTCGGTAATTTACCCAAATTTGCATATCTGGAGATGCATCTGTGAAATTTTCAATACGAAACTGCCACTTAAATTTCTTTATAATTGACATTAAAAATCTATATAATAAAAGATGTGTGGTATCCCTACTTCTTTTTCCTGACGTCGGGTAAAGAACGATTTAACGGTATCCTATCGCTAGCCATTAAATTAAACCGATTAATTTGGTATAATTGTTGCATCTTGTAAAAATCTTTTGGATGTATTACTACGGGTTCTCCATTTTTACCTTCGAATGGTCGCGGATCGAATAAATTTTGATTAATCACATCTAAAAGAAGAATAATCGTATGTAGTTCCTTTTTCTTTGCTATAAATATTTTCATATGATATACAATTGTATCTATTATTACCTTTCGTGATATTTGGAGTTTTCAATGGATCTACAGAATCTCCTATGTAGTGACCGACTACTACGTGAATTCCTCGACGATCAATGTAATCTTTTTGATCGTCATGTGATCTATAAGTGATCAAAGATGAACTGATGTTTGAATCAGCATATAAATCGATTTAAGTATTAGAGTCCAATTTCTTATGAACATACCGTAATAAGATAAAATCATCTCGCCGATCAATGCTTTTCTCTCCACTCCAAGACCAAATAAGAAGCGTGCCAACGAGTACAACGATCAAGAAAATGATCGTCGACAGACGACGGGATCGTCTTAATCTCGGCCACATACTACTGCCTATCAGTCCATGATATCAGTCACTTTCTTTTTCTTCTTTGATGTATGTCGACAGAAAATCAACTCACACACTGGTCAGTTTTGAGAAGTTTCACTTGGTTTTACTTCATCGAGCTGTCTAAAATTATCGCACAAGTCTAACTTCCATTATCACAAGTTCCTCGTGATCAGCAGGTCGGGTCATTGTGAAGAAATGGGAAGATTTAACGGTGAACTCTGGAAGGAAGATTTTTACTATTACAGATACTATTATTCATTCTCTTAGTTAAAATTTTAAATTAAAATGGGAGATTTTTCTATATTTGTTTAATATTTATTAAATTAAACAGTTAAAACTATTAACATTTTATTCTATATATTACGTGCACATATAATACATATATAAAAATCATAGTGTCATTGAATTAAAATTGATAATGTTTTTTTGTTTAAACTTTGTACTCTTAGATATAAATTACTATTTATACTCTTAGATAAATTTACAAAAGAATCATATGTCGATACATATCAAGATAATAGTAATTGTGTCATAAATTTATAAAAATCTATCTAATATCTATATGTAATATATATAAATAATGAAAAAATAAAAATATTTCAGAATATATAACATAACAGAGTTTAATATCTGCTAAACGATTTGTTAGCAGTCTCCTCATAGATTGGCCACAGCTTGGCCATAAATTGGCCACAGATTTAATCTGGATCTGTTGACAGAACCTGATAACAGATTAGTGGCAGAAAATAAACAAAATCTCCAACACGTTCTATTTAAATACATTGGAACGACAGATTCTGCTCAGTTTTTGCCATCAGCCTATCGTCATGCCATCAGATCCTGTTGTATTACTGTTAGCAGAGTCTGCAGCAAATATCTTGCAAAATTTGCTTTTGTTGGTTTTGCTATCTAGAATATGAGAAAACTTAATAAAGGATAATGATAATATGATCACTGATCAATGATATGACAACTGCTTGCAGGTCATGAAGCAACAATGTAGCGTTCAAACAAAAAATGCAGATAAAAATATAATTTCAAAGTTTATGCAGCAATAAGCGAATCAGTAGTAGACATTGTGAAAAGCATTGTAACAACTAATGATTCTACATAGAACCATGTAACTTAATAATAACTTAATAACTATTTTAAAGCAACTGTATCGTAACATTCTTTCGCATAAAGGCACAACTCCTGTATTTACGAGGTAATAAACAATTTAATACCGAACAATATAAGAACCGACAATCTTCTTTTATGCAACACCATATATGTACACATCGTAATTGCTCGATTCCAGTTGCGAAGCAACAAAGCCGAACACGCATACATACCGGTAACGAAACCAAAGATGTTCTTCCTAAGGGACCCAAACAGCAAGGAAACTTAACTAACAACACTTCATTAACGGATTACTTTACAGTCTGAGAAGAAACGTTCTGTCAGCTAAGAAAAGGAAAAAGTAGCGGCGGTCGGATGACCATTGGTGCCGCCATTCGAAGTAGCAGCCGACGCACGGAAATGAGAACATGGGTTTCGTAATACGTCAATTTTTCCAAGGAGGGCGATAGTGTCGGTTTGCATGTAGCTCGCCACGTTGGAAGACTTGTGACGGGTGGTTGCGGCTTGGCAGATTACCTACGTGTATTATTTTGTATAAAGTCTCTGTTTACAGCAGCTCTATACGCCAAGGTGAGAAGGCATCGTTTAATCGAGATACTCGATCGTTTGAGAAATGATAAATTTAATTTAATCACAAACAGCCGAATCCCAATTCCCATACTGTCGGCTGCGCGCTATAGTTGTGCGATTAAATCCACTTACTCGAGCTTTTTTCTGCTACAGTGTATCTCGTTGCCAGAAGAGAAACGTAGTTTTATAGTGTGCAATGTTATCATGCAAATATGTAATTAAACATTATTTCGCACGATGTGTAGATGAAGATTAAAGAGCTGCTGAAGACTGTGAATGTGGCATGGTCCCCGCCAGCTCAACATCCTATTATGTTGGCTGCAGGAACAGCAGCACAACAACTAGATGCAAGCTTCAGTACTTCTGCCAGTTTAGATCTATATTCGTTGAATTTGCAACAGCCAGGATATGAAATGGAACTTCAAGCCAGTGTTCCCAGTGATCATAGGTGTCTATAGTTTACGGATGTAATATTGGAGTTATTCACTGTACTGTGTTTACTAACTGTATGTTATCGGTATGATTACGGTGATTTAGGTTTCATAAAATTATTTGGGGATCATATGGAAATAATCCTGCTGGCATAATTGTTGGAGGTTGTGACTATGGCACGATAAAAATTTATTCTGCCTCAAAATTGTTGGCCAAGGAATCTAATTGCCTAATAAGCAGTCCTGACAGACATACTGGTCCTGTCAGAGCAATGGATTTTAATCCCTTCCAAGCTAATCTATTAGCCACAGGCGCAACAGAGAGCGAGATTTATATTTGGGATGTAGTTAATACAAACACACCTATGACACCTGGCTCCAGAAGCCAGCCACTAGAAGATGTCCAATATATTGCTTGGAATAAACAAGGTTCTTATACTAAATTATAATCAAACTAATTACTCACTCTGAAAGTAAATACCTATCTAAATTTAATATATTGATGATTAATATTATTTTGTATACTCTTATTTTACAGTACAACATATTCTTGCATCAACATTTTCACAATGTTGTGTTATATGGGATTTAAGAAAAAATGAGCCAATAATCAGATTGACAGATGCAAATTCAAGGGTATAATTTCTCTTGTCATGTGATGTTATATACAAGAATATAATCAGAAAAATTTCACTCTATTATACTCTAATTATAGGTACGTTGGAAGGTTGTTCAGTGGCATCCTGATGTTGCGACACAACTGTGTTTAGCCTCAGAAGATGATCAGATGCCTATTATTGAATTATGGGATTTAAGGTTTGCAATGTCTCCTCTGAAGACACTGCAGAATCATCAGCGTGGTGTTCTCTCAATAGCATGGAATCCGCACGATTCTGATCTACTTTTGAGTTGTGCCAAAGATAACAGAATTTTATGCTGGAATCCTAACTCAGATACACCAGTACGCAATGCATTGATCTCGAGGCATGTAAATAAGACCTTAGCGGAACTTGATGTGTCAATTTTGAATTACAGAATGGTGAGGTGATATGTGAATTGGCTCAAACAAAACAATGGAACTTTGATGTGTCTTGGTGCCCGAGACATCCAGGATTAATTGCTAGTAGCAGCTTTGACGGTTATGCTGTTGTTTATTCCCTGTTGGGTGGACAGCAGCAAGCTTCTATGGGACCGTCTAGCAAAATAGTAGATTCGTTCCCAGGAATGGATCCTTTCACTCAACTTCCGGCTACAGTACAAACTGAAAAAACAGCAATATTGACGAAAGCTCCCAAATGGTTAAAGAGGCCATTTGGAGCATCATTTGGAGTGAGTGATTTAACTCGGTTCTATGTCACTGCGTTAACATTAACAGACAAGTTCCTTCTATAATGAAAAGCAATGATTGTTTGATAAAAACGACGTTATTTTCAGTTTGGTGGTAAATTAGTGATTTTCGAGAACCTACCTGCTGATCCGAATTTACCAGCAAACTCAAACAGAAAAGTTATTGTATCGCAAGTAATCACACAACCCGGTCTTATTCAACGTTCCAATAACTTAGAAGCAACATTAAAAACAGAACAGTATGGCGATTATTGCAAAGGAAAGATAGATAGATCCCTGGATGAACATACCAAGAAAATCTGGAGCTGTGTCTGTGCTTATTTTGGTGAAAATGTGACGAAAAATATATTGGAATTATTAGGCTACAATATTGACACAATGAACAACAAACTGAACCAGTATGTACCTCAGGATGATGTTAACAGTATTATAGAAGGCGTCTCCAATCTCAATAATGTAAGTGTATCTTTCATTGTACGTGTAGACATTTATATTATTGCTAAGATCTATTTTTTTTTAACATTACTTTATTTTTATTCGTCTCAGGTGCTGAACGGGAATGTTTTAGACGGCAGTGCTGCATTTGATGCTATTGCGCAAGAACAAAGTAAAAAAGTAGTCCCGTCAAACAAATCTGCGGATAACACTTTCACCATAGATACTTCCGATGGTAATACCTGCACATGTTGATAGATTTAATGTCAAGAACACGACAGAAAACTTACAAATGTATTACATTCGATGCATTGTTTTCTAGATGAAGATGGTCTTATTACTCAAGCCATCTTGTTAGGAAATATCGAGGCAGCCGTATCTTTGTGCTTTGCCAACAAAAGGTACGCCGACGCCATTATCCTTTCGATGGCTGCTGGCCCCGAGTTATTAGCACGTACCCAGTACAGATACTTTGTAGAACATTCCAGTCCGTTAAATTCTCTCATTAATTCATTAGTTAGTGAGAATTGGACAGAGGTTGTGAAGAATAGCGACATAAAGTGTTGGAAAGAAGTACTGATTGGCATATTTACACATTCCAATGCACAAGAACGACCTGCTTTGTGCGGTAAGGACTGATGTTATGGAAAAGTAATTTGTCACAATCATTTGTATCATTCTTATGTTTCTAACATGAATCTCCCTCAACAGATATGCTCGGCGACCGTTTGGCTTCGTGTGAGAATTCCTTCCTCAAGAAGCAAGCGCAAATTTGTTACATTTGTTCTGGCAATTTAAATAAGTTGATTGAAGTGACCGACACGGATATTCAAGAAGTGGTGGAATTAGTTGTGATAATGCAAAAAGCTTTAGAATTCCAAGGCATCAGGGATATTCGGATAGAGGATAAAATCGCTGCTACACTGTCCGAGTACGCGGAGATGCTGGCGACGGAAGGCAATCTAGAAGCTGCCTTGAATTATCTCGGAAACAGTCAAGAGCAGAAAATTTCAATGTTGAGGGACCGTCTTTGTAGGGCTTTGGGCTACATACAGGAACAAAGGCACACCGCGAAGCCCGCAACTCAAAATTATTACGACCGAAGTCGTACTCTGTCACAGAGCTCGCAAAATGCGTACAGTTCGCAACTGCAGCAACCGTTGCAACATCAACAACAGCAGCAGCAGCAGCAACAGCAGCAGCAGCAACAACAACAGCGGCAGCAAACAACACCGGTGCAGAATTGGAATACGACTCCGCTGAAGCAGACATACGGTACCACGACGAATCAGTTCACGACCCAGCCGCCTCAGCCGTACGGGATGCCACCGCCTCTTTCTCAACCTCAAACACAGTCTACGATGTATGATCAATATCCCACATCGCATCCATACAATCAGGTCCCAACTGCTCAACCTCCGCCGCCGCCTCCGCCTACGTCCAGCTCCAGTCTGAGCGGCTCGAGACCGTCCAGTGTTGGACCTCAGTCGAGATCGAAGTATCTGATAGATCCGTCGGTGAAGTCCACGCCTTCGTACGGTCAGAGCGGTTTCCCGGGGCAGAATCAATTTTACAATTCACAGCAAATCTCGTCTGTTCCCGGTTATCCTTCGCAAAATCTTTATCAACCGCAAGCTCCTGTGCCAGTTGCCACTTATCCACCCAGTCAGCCATCAAGTTTCACGAACAATCCCAAGGAACCCGACCCTTACAAGCCGCTTCAGCCAGGCCCGATGTTGCAAAGTGCACCTCAGACCCAGATATACGAGCCTGCTAGATCCCAGCCACCTCCTCCGCCAACGCAGGCATACGCAGGAAACGAGAACATGTATCAGATGTCGTCACAATCATCCGGATGGAACGATCCTCCGATCGGGAAAAGTTCCAGAGTACAGGTAAATCAATGTGTATCTTCAGTTTGTCCTATTATATTATTCAGTTCCGGTAATCACTAATGCGTATTATACACACACTGTCATTGAGATAAGCTTAACATTCGAATACTGATAAATGTGTGTGTATTAAAATGATGTAGCCAGTACTGGCACTATATGAAAAAAACGAAATGTCTGCGGAACACGCTGGTACCAGGAAGTGGAGGGCGAAGCATTCGAAAGGTGTAGGCGTCAAGGTAGCCGGACAATTGAAAGTGCTACGTTTACAATGATTGTATTTCGTACAACCAAGAGTGCTACGTTTGCAATAATTGTAGAATACGTATCATTATCGTTATTCTTCTTGTTACTTATACTTAATTAATAGAATTAATCCAATTTTGATCGTGGTGTAACGTGTTTGTACATTGCTGTGATACGAACTAATAAGTATGCTGTGCGGAAGAAAGACTTCAGAGCTACTTTGCACTTTGAGACTGGCGTTACGCAGATTTTTATCATTCATTCTTATATTCTATGACATATAACATCAAACTGTATAAAAGTGAAAAAGTGAACTTTCATATATTTTACTGATTTAATCGAAGTATCATATATCGAAAGTTTTTGCACTAGCTATTTTTAAAAATTGCACAGTGCGTTTATTGGATTTTACAAGCCGCTCGTATTGTCTGAAAGCTTTCACTTACTTCCGGTGACATAGACCAGCACCGACCATTGTAAAATAATTGAAAAATGCTGAGAAATCTTACGGACAAATTGGAGATAAATTATTTGTATTTTTTTTTTTTTTTTTTTTTTAGTCGAAAGCGGAATTTCAATCACAAAATCCCATTATGCATCCGTTGAGAAGCAATCAGCCAGAACCGAACGTGAGTTTTATTTATAGTTTTTGTGTATGTATACGTATGCAATTACATGTCGCTAACATAATGTAACTTTCTTAGTTATTAGCTCAAGATAATTTTTATCAAGATCCTCATAATGCACCTTACAACCCACAATACGGGCAAAGCGTGCCGGCCGCTGCATCATTCAACAAACCGATGGAGCCACTACAACCCGTAATGCCTGCGAGGGTAGCCGAACCTGAGAAACCTAAAGCACCTATTCCTGAACAACATGTGCAATTAAAAACGATATTGGATGAATTAAAAAATCAATGTTATGAAAGTGCGAAGAATCCGGTAAGTGTTTGAACCTTGAACGTATCGTATCACGGTGGTGTGATACTCGTAGTACAGTAACTATTTGACTATTTCTTACTGTTTAAAATTTATTCTCATAATGCTTTCTTGTCTCAGCCAATCAAAAGAAAGTTAGAAGACGTGTCGAAGAAACTGGAGGTGCTATATGATTGCCTTAGAGAGAATAAGGTAAGTCTCAGCTGTTTAGTGTTATTGCGTGCATTCTTCATAACTATATGTATATCTTTCAGTTGTCCCAGAATACTTTGCAAGGATTACATCAAATATCACAGATGATTCAAAATGGCAATTATACAGGAGGATTAGACTTACACACGCAATTGGTGTCAGGACCAGATTTTAGTCAAATAGCTTCCTTTATGCCTGGGATTAAAGTATTACTTCTAAGTGCCCTTCAACTGAGCGTCTACATTAGATAGAATGCTCAAGGATCGTACGCTAAGTTGTTTATATGTATTCATCATGATTTTTTTTTGTAATTCTAAACAGCCTTAACGAGAGAGTTATTTGTGCTACATTAACTTTATATAACACTCAGTATATATGTTATATGAGATATAAAATAGAATCACGATGTAGGTATATAATTATATATCCTGTTATTTGGTTCTCTCTGCATGTTGTCACTCGCGTTTAATAATGTAAACTGAAAAATATGCCAAAAACTATTGTTTAATTGTTTTTTGGCAATGAACATTACAATGTACGTGTACTCTATATATTCAAAAAACTAAAATAGATTTTATAACAATTTTAACGAATTATTTATTTTTTTTGATTAAAGATAATCATCCAAGTAAAAAGAAAGATATTCGGTATGTATATCTTACAAATTTATCCTACGGATAATACGGATGGTGACGTGCAAGAGAATCAGTTTATTTCATATACTGTATGAATAAGTCACGTATAATTTTCTGCTTATACCGTAATCAAATATGGCTATTGATCCAGATGATTCACGAGGAATTACATGAGAATCATATTTTATCTAGGCTAACTTTATATAATTGTCAGTTATCGATTTTTTATTGTTAATGATGTGTGTGAGATAACGAGATACTTACAGACGTCCGTATAAAGAATTTAAAGATAGGATGCTAACAGCAATTTGTTTTAACAATTCCATATGTATATATTGTAACGTTAAAGTCGATTATGAAATAAGTAAAAATGAAGCATCTCTTTTTTAAGTCTCAAAATTCACACAATCTATTTATTATTAATATTAATATTTCGAAGTAAATTATGCGCACGGACAATGGTCTTCTGTTCTCATTTAATGTGTAAAATGGGATTTTGCAATAAATAATAGTGGCATATTCTTTAATTGTATAAATCTATACAATGTTTTAAAAAATATTTTCTAAATATTTAATTATAAAATATTATTTATTGCTATCAAGTGCAATCTGTGAAACAGATTGGAATCACAAATTTAGCGTGTGTGGCTTCAAATGATATAAAAAGTCCTATCACATACGATGTACGATAACGAATAATGGAAAAACTAGATGTAATCATTGGACAATTAAAGTATGCAGAATGGCGTTTTTCTCGTTGACAATAAATTTCTGTAATAATTCATCCAAAGAGTCGATACCGTCCCGTGCGGCTTGTCGACGCATGATTTGCTTGATCTCCTCACGCACTCCTTTGTCAGTACCACGAGTAGTGATGCGGCGATCTAGAATAATTTTTTCCTTGCAACTTCTTTCATTTGTATAATGTGCTATAGGCGTATTAAAGAAGACGTCATTATATGTACTTTGTAACACCCCCGAATTTGTAGCTATGTCCAGCGATATGCCATGTCCGTGTTCGGTCCATAAATATATTAATTCTTCTAGAATATCTACGCATATGACATACGCTTGAAACAACGGGTAAGTGAAGCTTCCACGATTGATAATCCTCTCTGTAATTATACATAAAGTACTAGCTTCCTGTGGCCAATCCATTTGCATCAGTACCAGTGCATGCCCAATAGCCAGGTCTCCGAAGCCTCCAGATAAGGCAAAATTGTCCTAAATGTATATTAATCATGTATTCATGAAGCGAATACCACAAAGATATCACGTACGGAAAGAAGATTACTTACCTTTATAGCTAAGAGAAGTAATCTACAACAGTATTGTAAGATAGGGAATCGAGCGAGAGTTAAATAATGTAAATGCCTCATACTTGGAGCAGTTAAATTATGAGACACCTTGCCTGATACAACTGGTAAAGAGTTTGCTACTAAAACGATATGCTCCAACATCACCTAAAAGAAAAGAGGAAATATATTACTAATAACTTCAAGGGAAGAGAAAACAGGATCCTCTCTATAATTTATCGAAAATCTAGGCGTCACGGACCTTGTAATCTTTTAAGAAGAAACTTGTACCAGCCAAACGAAGATTAACAGATAAACCACCACCTTCTTGCGATAATCTAGCGATTACTTCATGATGTAAACCTTTGTACATTGCCAAATCTGTTAAAAAATGATTTAACCAAGCGTCCAACCGTAATTGTTGACTCAGTTTGCTTATTTCTCTCTGTAAATGGTCAGTACTGTGCAATAAGTCCCATAACTTTACTGCCAATGCTAAGCCATTGCCATTGTAGTCATTGTCACTGGTTATTATTACTCCGTTATCTTCACGCTTCCGTTTCTTCAATTTGGGTTCTGATTTATAGAATACAAAATATAAGCATAAAGTTTATAATTATTACTACAACATAACTGTGTGCAGCATCTTACCTGCTGGAACATGTACTCCTTCTCCGAAAGCTTCTACAAGACAATACACTGTCTCACCGTTGTTCATAAGTTGAGTGTGTTCATTTAATAACCTTAATAATATTACAATTGTGCACATAAGTAATTGCTTGACTATGAGCTCGTCGCAAAGGCCTGTATTATGTGCAACTGCATATTGCTGCAACCTCTCACTGTACACCTCGCAGTTCCAAGGCATGGAAAACAGGCTGCTTAACTCCCATCCTAATTTCTTGCCCATTAACTCTACAATTTGGAAAAGCCTGTCCCATGGGTTTTGTATTTGCGCATCTTGTGGCTGCTGTATATATGCCAAGTAAAATTCTATAGCTTTACAAAGCAGTCGTAAACTAAGACGTGTGTTCAGTTCTACCGGACCTGTACCTAGCAATGGCAATGCATCGCAAGCCAATAATTTTCTAAAATCATTTATTGCTCGACCCGGATGACTATGTTTCTCTGCAGTTAACAGTGTTTCCACCAAACGCGGCTAAAATAACAATATAAATTTATTTTCTAAAAGATAAGTTTGTACAAATATTCATAATTGTGTTTAAGATACATACTCCATGGGTTGCAATTGTTTGAGGAAACCTACGTAATAACAAAAGCAACAATTTGCAGTGCTCCATTGTATCTTCACTATGATCAGCTGTCATGACAAGTAATCTATGTTGCAATTCCTGTGGAATATGTTCAAATATCTGGCATAAAAATTCTCCTTCAGAATCGCGTTGTTCTGCACGAAGACAAGTTGTTATCATTTCTATTTCTTTCCAGATATCACGATCATCCGGAAAATTCTGAAATCTATATTCTCTCATTTAGATACAGAAATATTTGGAAGTAAAAATGCAACCATACATGTGTAAACTTTCATAATACTTACATTTCACTGAAGCATTTAGCAGCCTCTTTCACATTTTTTGACAGTTTCTCAACGTGATAAGCCTCAAACTAAAGATGAAGCATAATAAAATAGATCGTTATCTATTTTTAATAGTATGTATAAATTGAGAAAGAAGAGATACAGAAATATAAAATAAGAAAAATTAAATATATTTCATAACAACAAAATATACTAACCTGTACTTTTGCGCTATGTGGAAATAAAGATTTAGCAGTAATTAACCACGACTTAGCCGCATATATGTCGACCGGCAAAACTTCTTTTGCTCTCATTATTAAATAATCTTCTTTGGATAATTTATTATCCGATCCAGAAGTTTTTTCCAACATTGTGAAATATTATATCACGTCACCGTGTCATGTAAACACAAAAGTGAATAGCGATTCGTGATGGGTTACGTTTATTGAGTCGTTGAGAGAGTCTAAAGCAGTACTGCGAAAATATGTGCCCGAGCACACCGCACCGCAGCGTGCGAGGGGAAGCGTCCCCTTCATGCGCCCTCACCGCTCTCTTTCTCGCTCAGCGAGGCGACGCCGGCGACGCCAAGCGACGCGCCTTCACACCGATAGACGGAGCAGTAGCGTTGTGTGCGGAGAAGACGCATGGAGGGGACGCTTTCCCTCGCACGCTGTGATGTACTCGGGCACATTTTCGCAGCATTGGGCTAAAGTAGCCTTGTTGATTGTTTCTCATTTTTAAAGCCAGCGGCACACGGTGTGTTTGTTTTCGTGCCGGATTGCTTGCTGGATGAAAATACTGCGTTCTAATTGGTGCATTTCCATCTATCTTCAAAAATGTACCAATCAGAATGTAATATTTTCATCTAACAAACAATCCAGCACGAAAACAAACACCGTATGCCGCTGGCTTTAAAGCGATCACGAAGGACTACGACTACGACGACGAAGGACTACGACGACGGCTTTGATACTTTCTTTGATACTCTTGATACTTTCCGATATCTTTTTTTCATTATTCCATATCTGTTACCATCCATGCTTATTTCAAGCTATGTTTCATATTCCGGCCATGATATTCCTAAGAGGGCGCTAGTGCACAGCAAGATTTCTTTGATACGCTAAATCTCGTTAGACCAACAGTCTTTATAATATCTCGTCGGTGATAGCGACGTGTTGTCTTTTCTTTCACCTCGCACCGGCAATAATTGCTAGCTGTATTATCATGAGCGTAGCTAAAGCAATTGGTATTATCATTGCTCTTCAATTATCTCCGGACCCCTTCGAGCCCCTTTAGATGATACGAAAATTTACCCAGGGCTGTTAGTTTTTATATTATCTCGTCGGTAGCGTTAGCATTCATTGAGATTTTTCTGATATTTCAAATCCCGTAAAATTAACGATCTTTATTAATATCTCGTCGGTAGCTTTAGTTAAATGTGCTTTGAGTCTTGGCTATACGTGGTTCGGATCTTTGGTGAAAGCAAACTTTAGTTCTGAAGTCTCCGCTATGAGCCGCCACTATATTTATTTGAGATATCGTACGATTTGACAGAACAGCCATCTTTTCCATTTCTCAAATAGTATGACTCAAAAGTGAGTAGTATGACTTAAAACAGTTTTCCCTTGTATTAAACCATAAGTAGAATTCAACAAGCTGTATTTTTGTTAAAAATGACGATAAAAAAATAATTCAACAAGCATTTTAAAGCTTGAAATCTCTTCTTTTTAGGAATATTAAATGCATAAAGTTGTTATTGTTTATCAGTAAGTAATATCGAATTGAGTGAATAATGCCGATTATTCTATATTTAACTTCATCCTTCGGTTAAACTTTTATACTGAAAATTGATTTATGTCAAAAATATGATAAGTCCCGTTTTAAAGGGACAATTCTTTCAGATTTTTATTCATTGATTAACGAATATCATAAACCGTCTCGTTCGTCCATTGTGAGCAGATCGAAGATGAAAGGACGCTTTTTCTTTCAACATGAAACCTCGATGAAAAAAAGATCGCATCGTAATCTGCGTGGATGCAAATTAGATAGGAAAGTTCACGCTTTCGAATAATATAAATGCTATTTGTCTGTGATCTTTTTATCGACATGGTGAAATTTAATAAAGTTCCTAAAAAGTTCTGGGATCTGGCGAGTCTTGATTAATATTCACGTAGCACTGTAAAAAAAAATTGAATTTTTATCTTCAAAAATATATCTGGAAACTAGGATTTCTAGGGAGCTGTAAAATGCTTCTTCAACTATCTCATTATCGTCATTTTTTTCCTAAGTTATAGCCTGTTGAATTTTATTCCTCTACTTAAATCGTATCACTTGAAAGGATAAAAGCCTTCGCGTCTGTTAATTAGCTGCGCAATTGAAAAATAACAGGTTACTTGAATCTTAGATCTTTTTATTTTCATCCACGCAATGCGTCTCGATAATATTAATATATTATCGATAATATTAATATATCGATAATATATTACTCGCGCAATTAACTCCACGTGTATTAAGTTTCCTTCTTGTTGAGTTCTTAATTAAATTTTTTTTATAGTCATAATCATTATAAGATAATTGTAAACTCGACGAATAAATGATAATAAAACTATCGATAGTAAAATCGCATAACGCCTTGACTATACTCGGACAGTTGAGGCCGAAGAAATCGATGTTCGTTTAACAAACGCTGCGTAATCCATCATTTCTCGACATGTCGGACGCCCGTTGAAGGCGTTAAAAATTTTTCAAGTTATTCACCGACATATTTAACGATGTTTTCCCGGGCCACAAAATTAATTGTGAGGTCCCTCGGGCCGCGCCAGTTCCACATTGGCGAACAGAACTTCAAGGTATTTACGATTTTTATTCAGACGACTTTTGACACGCAAGAAAATATTTTTATTAAATTTGTTGTTATACGTAAACTTCTGTCTGATTTGTTCACACACATTGTATATATTTCAGCAGGTTATATTATTAATTTTTTTATAAACTTTATTTCGAAGAATTGTGTAAATCACGTGTGTCATGGGAAAATGGAGCTTATTTTTAACCTTGATGTTTGCGATGAAAGTTCATTATTTTCTTTCTTATTAATATGTAGAATATATTACCCTAATTAAAATTGTCCACGTAGAATGTTTTTAGCGGCGCTGGAGGAATCAGTCAGACGTTGTCGCAGCTGTTAAAAAGCAGCATGAAACTAAATGTACTTGCGCTGTACGATGTGACGGCTGTTAATAAACCGTGGTCTAATCACAATAGGATACGCAATTATTGTGTCGATCAAACGCTTATCGTAAGTTGCTTACCATTCACTACAGGAAAAACTTTGACGTAATTTGCAAATCGCAAAGAGGGAATTTTTAAGTTATTGAGATTTAGATGTAATAAATGTAGAAATTAATTGAAACTTAGAAAACTAAAATTAAAATATATTTAATTTAATTATCGTCACATTAAAATATTCCCAATAATCGCGACACAAAGTGACCTTCTGTTTTTTATTAAGAGAAGAATAAATATTAATTTGAACAGCCTTCAACCGTGAATACTAATGAAAAGAAATCTCACTCGACTCGAGAGGAAAAGAGTCCAGATATCACAGTTAATGATGCAGTAAAAATTGGCGACAATAGCGTTCTGAATTTCTCCAATCATCAAGCAGATAATAAAAAGGTAAAGTATAAGCTAACTTATTGCTGAAATATTTATTCGATCGCGTCGGTACGCGTATTTGTTGACGACTGATTAATCGTCGAATTATTTTCGTTTGTCCGCATAATCTTGTAGACAACATTCTTCGCAATTCTATCCAACGCATTTCCCATCCTTCCTTTCTAGAATTACTTTTATAGTGCTTTAAAAACGTAGAATGTATATAAAACTCTTCTTTCTGCAGCACGAAACCGAGGAACTTATAGCAGCTCTTTATAATCTACCAGTAGCCGAGGGAGTTCCAAAATCAATCAGCTCGCTGACGCCTAATGAAACAACATCAAAGGTAAGGGATAAACAAATCTCTAATGTCCGTAGCTTTTAAGGGTGCGAGAATTTGGAAAGATCTGAATATCCCCCGTCCTACGTGTACGTGCATTTGTCCTAAATATAATGGGAGAGAGACAGACTAACAACTAACTACATACTTGATACCGACTGCAAATTAAAAAAAGAGAAAGCTCAAACGCGGAAGCGCCGAGTCCTCTCTTGACAAAAATCTCCGCCTCGAGGAGCAGGATCGATAGTCGATGGAGCGGCGTTTAGAACTGCAAACTATTCCTCTCTAAATCTTAGTCGATCCTTAAGCCGGCTTAAGCGGGCACAACCGAGTTTACAGCATAAGTGCCTGTCTCTCGCCTTCCTCAGGCGGGCAACGCGCGCAGCGGAATGCGTCCTCACGCGACACTCCTGGATGAGATCGGTCCTAACGGCACGAGAGCCCGGCAAAGGGATTGCGCCACCGTCGCGATTCGCAAGTGGTTCCCCGGCGTGACGTGTGGCTCGCCGTTTCAAGAACACGTAAACTTTACCGCGGCCACGAAAACCTCGAGGAGGCATCCTCCGAGTAAGGATAACGGCAAGATCGGGGACGATACAAGCCGCGACGTCTACGACGCGAAAGAGAATGACTATCGGCGCCGGCCGTCGTTTTCCTTCCTGGACAACAAAAAGCCGGTGGGAAGATTAACGGGCAAGCCCGATAACAGTCGCGTATCTTTAAATACATGCGGCCAGAAGACGTCGACCAACCACCGACTGTCATCGGGAGCGTTGTTGAATAATCAACCGAGGTGGTCGCGTGAGATCCACAGCGGAGGATTCGTCGACTGGGCTGTCATCAGGACGTTCGTTAGCGACAGGACGAACGACTCGATATCGGTAAATCGCGACGACGACCGTTCTCGACGAGGCCCGCGGTCAGCGGCCGGCGGTCTCGCACCCGCCAAGGCGACAACACAGGATACTGTTGAGGAGGACAATCGGATTCAGCGAATGTCGTTCGGAGTGCAGTCCGCCGTGTTGTCAAACTTGTGCGCCGAGGTTCGAACGCGTCCGTCAACTACCTTGGATGCCCACGAGCGAGCGAATATTCCCGCTGCGAACGAAGCTCTTGCCGCTTCCGTTTACATGTCCTCCGCCGGCAGGACGATTCACTTAGCGCTGAAGAGCTGCGACTCGAAGTTCAATCTTCGGCGCAGCTTGGGGAAGATCTGCGCGTTATGGGACAGACTGCTCGGAAGGAAGACCAGAGACGATATCTGCAAGAAGAGGGAGAAGTCCTGCGAGCCGGCGGAGGGAACGTGTCGGAAGAGAGGAGAAATGTGTCAGCGAAGGACAACGGACAGCAGCGCCGGGAGGCGCGAGCGGGCGTGCGGCAAGCGAACAAAGGTCCTTTGCAGCGGCGGAAAGAGTTCTTGCGGCGATAAAGATGACCGCGACTGTAAGACCCGGAAGGAGAGGTGCCAGAAGCAATGGTGCACGCGGCACAAGGGCAACGACAGCTGTAAAGCAAAGGAGGAGCCTTGCAAGAAACGTCAACGCGCGGAGCCGGCTGCCTACGAGCGGCGGCAGGATCGGAAGGAAGCTCCGTGCGAAGAAGCCAAGAAGGACAGGTGCGGGAGGGACGCGGGTAAGGACGCGTCGTGTAAACAGGGAAAAGAGCAAAGAGCCACCTGCGACGACAAGAAAGAAGAAAGCCGCCCCCCCGCCCCCGCTATCGAGAAAGCGAAGTCGTGCGAAAAGAAAGAATGTCCACCTGTTAAAAGGGCTCCGGCTTGCCCGGAGAATCACAGGGAGGGTCGTTGAAGACCGTCTCGTCGACGCGCCATGAATCTTTTCGACGAGGAGCGACGACCTCGTCTACGCCAAGACTACCGGATTATCTCGTGTTTCCGAAACGCTTCGAAGGATATCGCTCGGGCAAGAAATGCGATCCATCGATATCGCAGAGATACAATTCCCGACGGGTTGAAATCGGTGATAATTAGGAAAGCGCCGCCATTTCCGCGCGTAATATCACTCACACACACACACACACACACACGTCTCTAAAGTAGAGCGCGTTCGTGTGAAAAAAATTTCGTGGATGATAGTAAATGTTACGAGTATACTTTCTTTCTCCATTTGCGTTTTTTCTTTTTTTTTTTTTTCATTTATAAGAACGTCTCTTGAGGAGTCTTAATTAATCAGTCGTGTCACATTGTGTTATTGCTACTGTGTTGCAGTTGCGACCGAAGGAGGAAAGCCCCAGCGGTGGGTTCCGAGAAAGCGGAACGATCGGTGAAGTAAGTTTTTCAGGATATCGATCCCCTCCCCTCTAATAGCACATCTTAACTATCTTAGCGTCTCGCATTACGCTCCGTTTCGAACGTGAGAATTGTAGAAAAATCAGAATTTCCCTGCATACCTTGCGTATATTTTGCGATTCACACGAGTTCCTGTGCAAATCGCACGATCAAGTCAGACGAGCGAGCTCGCGGAGAGGTAGAACAATCGAACGATCGCAAGTTCTCCTGAGAAAAAAAAGGAAACAACTAAAAATTGATCGCTGTGGCTCCACCTCCCTTCTGCCTCCTTTTTGTTCCCTTTTTTCCCCTTTTTTTCGGCGAGAATTTCGCGAGCGCAGCGCAGACGTCGAACGAAAAAGAGAGACGAGAAAGAGAGAAAAAAAAGGCGATAAAAAGATGCCTCGTTCGCGACGGTAAATAACGAGTTACCGTAAATCCCATCACTGTGGTCGTCCTCCCTCCGCAGAGAAGAGAGGGATCGAGCCCATCGGCGAGATCTGCGCCAGGGTTCTCCGAGAGCGGGAGATCGATCGAGCGCGGTGAGAGCGAAGCCAACAGGGGTCCTTTATGCGCGATCGCCTCGTCGCGTCGTCACGACAGCCGTCAGCCCGAGCAGCCCAACTCGCCGTACGGCGACAGGCCGAGCAATGACGATTACTTTCCTCAAGGCGCGGATTTCGAGAACGAGTTCGGCACGGACGATCGTCAGAGGTCGAGTCAATGTCGAGTACCCAGGCAGGAGCCGCGGCGTATCGATGACGAGAATGATAATTTCGCAGCCGCGTTGCTGATGTTCGAGAATAACGACGGGAGACGACGCGTCAGCAGAGACGCGCCGCCGACAGGGCTCATCCGCACGCACACCTATTCACCGGGTCAAATGGGACTGACAGATGCTGGACACGTGACACCAATGTCGAAGAGATCCTCCGAGCAGGAAGCCGTCGAAAAACTGCAGACTCTGATAGAGAAGGTCGCAGAATTCAAGCGGCGAATTTTCCGTTCCGAAGACAACGTGACCAACGCCGGGGCTCGATCGGCCCCCCGAAGGAAGGAGAGGGAGATCGGCAACGAGAGCAGCAACACCGACGAGTCGCGATCCGATTTCGTTCGTTCGGAGAACTCTCACCTCGGCGTAACAAGCTGAACTCGCACACCTCGGCCGGTGACGTATCGTCCGCGAGACTCGGCACACCACCACACTCGGTGAACCCGGTGAACTTTCAGCAGCAAAGTACTCCTTAAGCACGAAAGGAAGCGCACGAGCGCTCCTGCGCTGTCCGTCGTTTCGCTAATCTCTACAAAGGAGGGAGGTGGACTCGCCAGAGGCGAGTCGGGACTATCGCGAGTACCACAGCGAGGGAGCGCGGAACGATCTCCTCCGCGACTTAATGCATAACAACTAGCAGGCAGTTGGTGGCACCGGACTGCGCCTGGGCGAGCCCGACTGCAGCGACGATCCACCGGCTCGACCGAAGAAGAATCCGTGCGATCCACCCAAGGGCCCCTGTCGGCCGAGCCATCCACCGGGCTATCCTCCGTCTTCGAAACCGCGGCCAAAGGGAAAGCCATTCTGCGTTAAATGCCCGCCCAAGAAACCATGCAACGACGATCCATGCTAGGTCGCGTCAACGAGGTAGACAGAGCGATAGAGAGAGAGAGAGAGAGAGAGAGAGAGAGAGAGAGAGAGAGAGAGAGAGAGAGAGAGAGAGAGAGAGAGAGAGACAGAGGGTACGTGGAGGCATCGGCGGCAGTCGCAAATTGATCAGATGGAGACTGAGAGTGGTTATTTCTAGAAAAATGTAACCCTGTATCCTCCTTTTCACGTCTTTCTCTAAACCGCAGGCTGTTCATCGAGTCGATGCACCGTCGGCAAGTCCGGCGAGAACGTCTGTCGGAATGATGGGGGAGTGCTTGGAAATCGGATACAGCACGAGGCCTGTTTTCGGGATTGGAGAATTGCGTCAAATCCGATGGAACAGAAACCCTTTGACGTCCAGCCAAGAAGGACGAGTTCGCAGGAGGAATTTCTCTTCTCGCAAGCTCATGGACACGCCTCCAACGGATGAAATATGGAGTCGAGCTGGCGAGGGAGTGAGAAACAGTTCGTCCAAACCGTTCTCGGTTACGACAGAACAACCGATGGCGATGATGCTGCCAGCAGACACAGCTAATTACCAGATCTCACTGCCAGATGAAGAATTTTCCAGTCCAATGTCCTTGAGAGCGTTCGCATCGGCTGAAAATGATATTCCGCCATCTTCACCTCGCTATCGTGAGTCAGCGGAGTTTAAACGCCCGATGAATCCGACGAAGAGCCGCTCGCACAATGCACCTCGATTACGCTCCACTTTGACTATGCAACGCGAATGCGATCGATTGCAATCGGAGAACAAGGATTCCGAAACTTCTTCTCAACTTTCACGCAGTCCGAATCCCTCTCCGTCCTTATCGTACCCTGAAGCTTGCCGACAGACGAAACCGAAGTGCTCGCGAGACATATGTGGGACTTTACGGAAACCACGGACGCACGAAATATTCAAAGTGTCCGCTTACTGCGGTCTCCGTCACCCGATTCCACCGCGAAGACTTCATCGGCGAGGATTTCACAGCACCACGATGCTTCTCGGCAAAGGGAGCTCCGACAAATCCACCGGCTGTCGAAAAATGGACGATATTTGCGAAACAGCCGAGGACAACAACTGCGGTAAGCCCTGCAAGAGGCAGGACGCCTGTCACCGGGAGAAAGTCAAGTGCGAGAAGCCGCAGGAGGAGGAGAAGAAGAAGGAGATTCTGAGGAAAGCGAAGGAGCCGCCGCCGTGCAGGGACTCCTGTTTGCCGAGGAGCAAATGCGACCTCCCCAGGACTGAGCCGCCGATGAAGATGACGTACGAGAAGGTGACGTGTCCGCCGTCGAAATTCGCGAAACTCGCCTCGTGTCCGTCGGTGCGGGAGGACGCGAGAATGAAGTACACTGAGCCGCCGCCCATGGAACTCGACGCGGCGAAAAGAAAGAGCAAGAAGAAGAAGATCTGCCCGCCACCAGCATTGCCGAAACCGCCGTGCACACCTATCCTCCTGTGTCCCTGCCCGCCGCCGCCTAAAATACACCCCGGGTCGTGCCCGTGTTACGAGCACAAGAACGAAGTCAAACCGCACACGCTGCCAGCAGCGTGCCCTCCGAAGAAACCGTACCCTTGCCCCACGGCGGTGCACTACTGTCCCCCGAAGAAATGCGAAAAGACATCGGCTTGCGAGAAGCACCCGCCGAATACACGGAAGCCTTGAAAAAGTTTCAACGCGCAGCAAGTAGTACGCGATACGCAACACTGGTTAGGTCGTTATCTTCCAAACATTTGAACAAGCGCTCGCGCGTCAGGTACTTTTTACCTTTCCTTCCGGCGCTGTTCGTTCAGGAGTAATTAGCACGACACGATTTACGACGAGGACGAAGGCGCGCTCGAAGGCGAGAGAATGGCGGTGATTTCTGCGAGATCTATGAAATTGGAGGTTCGGTCTCCTGGATCGATAATTGTCAATAATTCGAGGCTGACTCGTTCACCATCCGTCAGCTCGTGCGATCGATGGGCTGGCCAGTTTTTCGTCCGACAGTCTCGTATTTTGCGACGAGAAGGAACAAAGGAGAAAGGGAGTACGCACCATTGGTCGCGAGAGTTGAAGTGCGAGGTGAACAAACCGGCTGACGATGCGTGTTGCTTGTCGCGTGACTGACGGATTGTTTATTCTAAAATTGTGCGCTGTTGATAAATGCGGGCATCGCGCCGCGTCGCGTCGCGTCGCGTCGCATTAATAAAGCCCCGCGAAAATGTGTACGCTGAAAAGCACACAACTCGCACCGATAATTTCGACAAATCGAGTCGAACTTTCAACGAAAATGATACTCAAGTGTCTCTTTTTCTCGAAATTTCGAATATAGACTTTGTTGGCCATGCGACGTGCGACATGCATTTTATTAATTTTTTAAGAAAAAAACCCAAGTCTAAATTCGAATAGATCTCGCAGATAATTACACGCACAAAATAGAAGAAACGTACTCTGCTGTTTTTACGCACATTCCGTGGGCCGAAGATCCCCGGCGAAGCTTCAGCGGAGAAACTGGCGCAATTGATTGAAACAGGTGATTAAAGAATTTCAGATTATCGATTTGCACACATTTGGAGAATGCAAGCGCTCGGGAATTACATCCATGAACTTTTTCTAACGCCCAACGTAACCGAAAAAACATATATCATTTATTGGAAAATATTTCTTCAGCGACGAAACTTGGAAAAATTTACACAGAGATCTGTGTCGCAGTTTGTGTACGGCGCATTACAATCATAACAGAGGAAAATGTAGCTGCGAATTTGTCAAATCCCTCTTAGCATCGTGTAAATAAAATCTTGCTCATCGACTGTTCCTTCGCTTACGCTTAGATCGCACGATGCGATCGCAAAATTCGCCTCCTTCGCCATTTCCCAGAAGTTTAATCGCAGGGATTTTTCGTCGAAGGCATGCGGATTCCCGATTCGAGCGCGAGTTTCGCAGCCTCTGTTCAACGACAGGTCGTATCCATCGCTGCGACGCGTCACGCCGGTTCGGATAGGAAGTACGAGAGGGGCGGAAGAGGGCGCCGGGGGCTCGAAATAGGAAATCGATTTCTACCGTTGGAGATCGGTTCCGTCGTTTGATTCGATCCCGTGTGTACCGTCTGTGTACGCGATAATAATCGTGGCTGTACGTGCCACACGCCGCCCCTCCGCCCGTAACTGTTTCCACGAGTAAGCGACGCGTGCGAATGTGTGCGCGCGCGCGCGCGGCAAACTCGCGCCACGAAATCGGCATCAAAAGCGCTTCGTTACAATAATATCGACATTTATATACGACGGGGTTTCGGGCCGGAGGAAGTTCGACCGGGCGAGGGCGGTCGGCGGGAAGAGGGACGATGGTTCTTATCATTTTATTATTGGGGTGGCCCACCCTCGTTTTCCCGGAACGACGTTTTACTTTTACCTCCCATTGTCTGTCCCTCGAGCCGGCCTCGATGCCCTCTTAAAGGCTTAAGCGTCGTTTTCCCGCCGCTCAATAGGATAACCTAGCCTCTCTACGATGCTTCCTGGTTATTAAAATGGGAACGACCAGCCTGTCCTCAGCCGCGCCTCTCGTGCCGTGTGTCACCGGGTGTCACCGCACTTTGTCTCGCCGCAAATCCTTCACAAGGATACGAATTCGGTCGATCGACGAAGGAGCTAGAGCACACATCGTTCTCCGTTCTCGCGGAGAATTAAATTCCAAGGATCGACAATATACAGAGAGAGAGAGAGAGAGAGAGAGAGAGAGAGAGAGAGAGTATTGTCTATCTGTACGAAAGAGACATTTCGGCGACGGGCTGTTTGAAGATGTTCTCGTAAGAAAAGAAGAGATTGAGATTATTGATCAGGTCACAGGAGAGAGATCTCGAGGAGAATATATCCGGCGTATATAAATGCGCGTGTATCGGTCGCGGCGATAATCCAAGCGGTTTCGGCCGGAATCGCAGCCGATGAGAAGGAGTTATCTCGCGCTCGCGGAAACTTCTCTTCTACGGCGTGCGCGTCGCGCCAGGCCAGGTTTCACCGGTGCAAGATATCGCGAGCATTATCGCGGGCGTTCACCGTGATTGGTCGGATTCGAGGGTATCGTCTCTTTTTCCACCCTCTCGCTCGACCAATAAGTGACGTTTCCAGCCGAGAAAGGGTGAGGAGGGTAGGGAGCCCGAAAGGGGGTGGCAATTCGGCGAGAGAGACGAGACGTGCAATGTTCCGAGGGGGTGAGCGAGGAGGAGGAGGAGGAAGAGCGAGGGGGTGAACGACGTCGAGTACGACGAGGAGGAGGAGGAGGACGAGGTAGAGGAAGAGGAGGAGGAGGAGGAGGAGGAGGAGGAGGAGGAGGAGGAGGAAGGGCGAGGGGTGAGGGGGCGGTGGAGGCGGAGGAGAGAAGGGGAGAAAATTCTCCGCGTGGAAGAGAGCCGAGCGGGTCGGGCTTCTCGGTGGAAACAAGCGGGATGGATAAACTTCGGAGCGACTGTCCCCGAGGCTGATGCATAATTCAGGAATCGTCACCGGCGAGGATATTGCCAATTTGGCGTCGATGAAAATACGATCGGATTTGTGTCGGCTACCGCCCAGAATGGGGCTCGCTTCGCTCGTTCGCTCGTTCGCTCGCTCGCTCGCTCGCTCGCTCGCTCGTTCGTTCGTTCGCACGCCCCGACGTATACATCCAGTGAATTTAACACCTTCGCCCGAGCGACCGACCGCCCACCCTGCCGTGCGTAATTGCATCGCGACCAATCCGCGGGTGTACACACGATCGCCTCTCTAATTGCGTTCGCCGTTTTCACGCCGTTTCCGATATGGACGGAGTTAAGAGTTCTGTGACATCGCCGGAGACAAATTACGGCCGGCAGGCTTCGTGCGGCGCTTTATCGTCGCACGGCGCGGCGCGGCGGCTCGTCGTGCGCGAGTAAAGGCGGCCGTAACGAGAGCGGTGAAACGCGACGAGATAATCTGGGGGCGAGGCTCGGACGCTAATTTTTGCGCGAGTTTAATCTTGATGTTAACGTCACGCGGCTACGAGACGTCGGCCGAATGGCGGCTAAATCGCGACGTTCTCGCGAAGGCCGAGGTTCCTCCGATATGTGTATCTCAGGATTAAAATGGCAGTCGCGGTCTCCGGAGTATGAGAGTCGATACCTGGCACGGATCGATTCTCCGTTGCTTATCGCGGGAGATTTTAGCACAGCGGAATATTTAATCGGTCACGCAGACTGAGTACGATTCCCTTTTAAATTTATAAGCTCATCCGCGCGGAATATCCTGCACATTTTTGAAACGGCGACGATGTGCCGTGCTGATACTGATTGATGAAGGATTATCGGTTTTTTCATGGTTTTCACCACAAGAATTTTCGAGGGCGGTAGGCGGGCAAAGTCGTGTAACGGAGGATCGTCCAACGTTCGACGGATGTGGGGACAACGGGCGCCATGAAATATTTATCGGTAGGGGAAAAGCCGCGAGAGAGACAGAGAAAAAGAGAGGGAGAAGAAGAGAGACGCAGTATATCGAGGCACGGTGAAAAGAATACATTCCGGATCGATTCAATTTGTCAACGCGCCGCTAATTGCGTTATTATGCCGCTCTTTTGTACGTCGAAACGCCTCGATCATCAATAATCTGCAAAAAGCTGGCGTTGATAGCGATGAATTGGCGGACGCGGACGGAGGATTCACGCGGATTACGAGGGAATTATGATTTCCTGATGACGCGGCTCGGATCAACGAACGGCACGGCAGCAAGTTTTTCGGCAATGATAATTGTGTCGCTGGACGGAATAGAAGAACAAGTCGCATTTTCTGCGCTTTGGCACACAAAGGAATTTTTAAAGCACGCCGTGTCATGTCAACGAGATACATATCGAGATGTATAAAGACCACAAATTTTCTCGTTCAATACAACGACTATAGAATACGTAAAAATAATGACCTGGAGATTTACGAATCTTAAAATTATACAAGATTTATTTATCGCTATGCGATTTGTTCATGATTAGTCATGAGTTATTGGCGCTCTTATTTGTGCCAAGTGTCAAATGTTGGAAGCTGCGCGTTTAAGAGATTTCTCATCGGGGGGGAAAAAAAATTAATGACGGGAAAGAAGCCAAACTGGAAGAAATGTGGCAGTCTTGCAAATTTATTCTTCGGACGGACGGACGAAGGGCTCGGTGACTTGGCCACCGGGGTACCAGAAGGCGGGAAGAGTCGTAGATTTATGATACCGGATGCGCAAATACGGTGAAACTTCCCCGTATCCGGAGTGACGAAAACTTTTGTCGGTGTACGCCTGGCGCCTTTCTTTCTTATATATATATATATATATATATATATATTTTTTTTTTCTTTAATCCGCGACCGCACCGAGGACGTGGCGCATTTTTCGTTCGTTAAGTTTGCGCGCGAGTCGATAAAATTTTTATCAGTTACACGTCATACGCAGTACGCAGAGAATACCGCGAACGTATGATAAAGCGATATTACGTGAAATTAAAGCTATTGCTCGAGAAAACTGGATTATCTCTGATGTATCCCTTTCATTTTCAATGCTAGGAGATTTACGAAGATAATTAACATTTTTGATCGGACTAAACGTGTAAATTTTTTATTTCATACTGTTTATCGTAGGAAAAACGTTTCCACCTTTAGCGCGCCGAAGACGGTGCAGGTTTTACGTATGGATGTCCATCTTTCAAGATTTACGAAATCCGTTTTAAGTGAAACTTTTCACTTTTCTAGTAATGATCGGCCACTCTAGCTCGTGTCCCAAATGACTCTGAAAATTCGACTTGTTCAAGTTGTCAAAGTTCTTGCGTCGGTCCGCTTTACACGGGAGGATCCACGGAAGAGAATTTCAAGCGAGGAAAGAGTTCCGCTATCGGACCGGAGGTTAAATTAGATTTCGTACTTCCGGAACGTTGCAAGAACCTTAAAAGAGGAGGTAAGCGCGGGCAAACGTCCCCCTTTCCTGTGCCTCTCGACGGTCTCGTTCGTTTGTTTCTTATTTGTTTGCCGTGGTCCTGTAGTCGCGCGAACTACTACTAACTTGTTTGTTCGAAGGCTTTGCTAGCTTTATGCAATGTTTTCTCTACGACTTCGTAGATTTACGATTGAGCGGCGAGAGCGTAGACTCGCGTCGAAACCCGAGAAAATATTACCTTACTGCTGAAATTTAACGCTGCCGATATTTTTACTTATTTCGTATACATATACAAATTGCTATTTACGTGTTTCCGAGACGCTGTCTCGGAAGAGATATTGTCCTTCGCTCAAAATTCCCACAGATTTATCTTCATTTTATTCCTCGTCTCGAATCCATCTCCGTGGCCCGGGGGGGGGGGGGGAGGAGACCGTGCAACACAATAATTACAACTCAACAAATTGTATAATTTGTACTTTTAATTGCGGCGACACGACACACGTGTGCGACAATCGATTTCCCGCTGAAGCGATACACGCGGCCCTCGGCGCTCTTTTCTGGTGAATACGATCGCGAAGTGTGCTTCTCCAGAAATGGAGACCGAAGGGTTTAGCACTCTTGAAACGTAGCCAGAAGAGTGTCGATTTCACGTGGTTCGTGGGACCGAGCTTTCGAGTACTTCGCTACGTGGCTGGAACGAAGAAAGGGTGCGCTCGCGAAGAAAATTTTAAGGACTCGTTTCGCGTTGGACTCTCTCCCTTGGCTTGGAGCGAAAGCGAGAGGTTACCGAAAAAGAACCGTACGCATAGAGCCGCAACGATAACAATAGGCAGCGTCCATTCTTCACGGTAAAACAGCAATACACGCTCTACGGTAAGGTCGTCCTGTTAGAACGCGTGCTT